TTTAGCACCTGCTCTCAGCGACAATAAATTCATTTGGTGGCACCTGCTCAAGTTTCATGCCAGCCAGCCGTTTTGGCTTGGAGCATGTTATGTCTTCTTTACTAGTCACACGGACTTTCTCTTCCCCTGTCAGAAACTCAGTCAGCCACTTCAAACCACAGTCACATGACCACGGATTGTTCTCCATGGAGACCACCCTGAGATACCCCCCGCTTAGAGTGGATTTGTCCAAACTTGTGAGGTTGCACCTGTCCATACTGAGCATTTTCAGCTTCGGCACGTACAGCATTGCGTCCTGATGAATTTTACTCAGTCTTCGATTCCCAGACAGCGACAGAAATTCTAAATTTGGCACGTTCAAGAAGAATGTCCTGCTGATTGTGACCAACCCCGGAATAGCTCCAATGTGGAGAAGTTTCAGTTCCCCCAGACCTTCAAACGACTGTGGAGTTAGCATTCTGACAGGGTTCCCGTTGAAGTACAGGTTTTCCAGCCACGTCACACGCTTAACTGCCATCGGTATGTCACGGAAGCGATTAAAACTCAAACTTATGCTCTTCAAGTTCTTATTATACCGGAAGAGGTCCTCCGGCAAGTCCCGTAACTTGTTCATGTCCATAGAGATTCCCCACAACTTCTGTGAACCGTATATGAGATCGCGATCCACTCTTCTAATACTCATATCGAACAGCTCAATGTACTCCACGTTATACAGATATGCAAACAAGCCGCGTGGGACAGTTTTCTGTGGCATCCTCCCGTACAGACGTAACAAGCGCAGTGTGGTGATGTGCAGGGCTGATGAGGGAAGGGGAGCCCTAGGGTTGTCGTACTTCATTACAAGGCTCTGTAGGTTTCGTAGGTAGTAGAATGCATCCAGCTCCACTGAGTAGATACGGTTCCCTGCCAGGTCGAGGTACTTAAGCCTGCTGAGATGCTGGAACATGGAGCGAGAGATGACGCCGAAGTCGTTGTTGGCCAGGTACAGTTTTCCCAGGTTGTACAGACCCAGGAAGGAGAACTGTGTGATCCCTCCCTCTGTCAGCATGTTCTTGTTGAGGTTGAGTTCTTCTAGCCTGTCCATCTTACTAAAGATAAAGTCTGGAACACTCTGTGTTGGGGAAACAGGCAAAAAATTTAAAATGTAGACTAACATGCATAGTATACACACAGTATAGACCCTGAGCCTTTTGAAAAAAAGTTCTTTTACTCTACAAGGTAACTGAAAACCAGTTAGGCTGTTTAAAAAAAAACGTTTTCAACCGTACTGTAAATAGTACAAAACAGTTGCAAAATGAGCAAATATATACCGTAAGTTGCAAAAATAATATTGTAAAACGATACCAATGTCATAGAATGCCAATCAAATGAAAAAGACGAAAATGTTAGGAACTGAATTTGAATAGTAGATTATTCGCCATACAATACTCTGTGTCATTTGTTCCACCTTCTGAACCACGTAGATTTCATAATGAAAGCAACTTTTTTGCCAAACTTTTTCTATTCGCACGCTCGCATCTGTTTTGGGGTTCCCAGAGGATGTCATCCATATAATCAAATCAACATGGCCTTACCTTTATGTTATTGTTGCTGTAGTCCAGTTGTTTTGTGCTTTGAGGTAGGTGCGGTGAGATTTCCCTGATGTTCTTCCTTCTACAGCTGACGTGAGGGAGGAACTTGTAACACAGACAGCGAGGCGGACACCTATGGGGCCCTGCCTTGTCCTGACATAGCACAGCGGAGACAAGCAAGAGCACCGTCGGTAGTCTCGTTCCCAACCTCATGTTTGGGCTGCAGTTTGATAAAGACAAATTGTGGGTTACATGGTTTTCCATTTCAGTTTGCGATCGATATCGTACGGCGATCTTACGACATATGTAGTGTCCTTACTCTTGTTTTCATGTGTATAAATACTTCCTACTACCACGTTTGGGTGTACAGCGGCAGCGCTTTAAAACAGTTGTAGTATATACAGACGGACAGACGGTTTCATCTGGCATGGCTTTTCTCACAGGCGTGTGTCCAAGCCACGGGGCAAGAGAGCAAGGACACGTGGCGACCCGTATTAAATCCAGCCGCACTCAATCATCAAACATAAGTTGATTTGTCAACAATTGACGAAGACATGATACGTGTAGTAATTGCAACGATTTCCTGACTGCGTGTCTCTGTGACACGCGTTTTGATCCGGTTCCTATCCTTCACGTCAAACCAAAATAAAGAAAAATTCGCGTTCCTTAATTTTCAAAAGCAAGATCTCTTACAAGCCATTCGCTAATTTTACGAGACGGCCCATAAGTAGTAATTAGTTCACATTAGGTCTCTTAAATGCGTCATAGCATTTTGCATTAAATCACTTTTGAAAGATCTATCAGAAACGTTATTAGATCAAATGGAATTTTTAAAAAGAATAACAAATCCTATTACACACATTCTCATGCCTTTCATAGTTTTTTAGCCGGCTGATAGGTTCAAAGTCAGCCTTCGCCGTCAAGTGGGCCAGGTCACCTTCAGCCAAGTTTTCTTGACCTCGACATTTTTGTATTTGACCGTTGACCGTCGGAACACCTACCTGTGGACGATGCTCCTCCTGTAACAGTGTTAACTGACCATGCTAAATGCTCGCCCCTTTCGGTTTTTACACTCCTTATACATCTAAGATTTTGAGAACAGTTGACTTTACACCTATCTTCTATCCTGGTTGCATGTTGGGTAACTTTCTAGACTTCCAGAAGCTTTCAGTCAAGGATGTATAAAAAACACCACGCAGAAACAGAATCGAATTTTTACGTACCTCATTCGAGGATTCCAGATTTACTTGAACGATGGTACAGAAATTTCCCAAGCAACAGGATTTTCACCCAAACTATTTCAGTGGACCGTCTGAAAACTATTTAAAGCCTGTACCCCGTGGCTAATGCCTCTCGCAAATCAGCCAAGCTATGTACCGATCAGTCTTTCGTCGCTGTATTAAAACAGCGGATACAGCGGATGTTCAAAGTCTCCAAACACTCACACAAATGTCGTCGCTCACGTGCCCGACTGACCCTGATGATTACTGAAACAGATCATAGGTGAAGAAACCGAAACACACAGGGCACAAAGCACGCTTGAAGTTTGGGCTTGGTTTATTTTCCATAAGAGCCTTTGAATGGCAAAGATTGTCCTTGTCATTTGTAGCGGGTATTCGTGCTGGGGCGGACTGCGGGGTATTGCGTCCAAGGTTCACAGGGAGGAGGTAAAGACAAAGGCTTATGACAAGTTCAATTTCATGCGCTATGATAGACTAATGAAGAGGGAATATTCGCAGAACACGGTATAGAAGGGAATAAGAAAATAAAACAGCTTTGATTTCCCCTATCTGACTTAGCTATAGTGACATGGTAATATACATACACAGGTATAAAGTGTTAACTAACATACAGTAGTTATTTGCTCATTTGTTGTGCGTACGATTAGATTTTCTTGTTAGAATTCTTGTGCGGACTATATTTTCTTTAATCTTTACACCTACAGCTAATTCGTCCAGGTACGACCCTCGAATAACTCAGAAACTCCCACAATAGTTTCTGTCTGACCATGACTAGGATGTACATGCATATAATTTTTGACGCATTTATAGGAGTTTAGCCAGATCTTTATTGGCCTTGACGTAGTGATCGCTTAAACAGACACACCTGTTGGGATTGCTGGCAAGATCGCCAGACAGTACATACACATTACCGGAGATTGTGATAGCTCTCAAAAAATTCGAAGCTTCGACCACTATCGAAACATTACAACAGGTAGTCCCTACGATCGAGAACTCTCTTGGACCATCGATAGTCACACTTTAAAGGAAATCTAATTATGATTTATATAGTGTGACTACTTGGACCATTGGATTTAATCCCCTTTCTTTCGACGACGAGTTTTTGGTCAGTGACCGTGCGTCTTTATAGCACCGTGACAACTGGATATAGCCGGAAGCTATGAGATTTACGGTTTGGCAAAATAGAATTAACTGTTCATAACAACTGACTGAAGCACCTTACTCGTACACCATACCTGGTCATACCTTACTTAAACTTAAGCTTAGTTAGCGCCATTGTCTACTACCTTACCACTTCGGCTGCCACGTGGCACTATTCACGTTCATTGAACAGTTGCAAAAGCACGAACTTAATGATCTTACCTTTGCTGTGTAATCGACTGGAAATATCGGATGCACCTCTTCTTCGGAGCTGAAAAAGGCAATGAACTCACGCTGGGTCCCAAGACGCTATTTGAATAGCAAATGATTTATCATGTGTTGAGCCAATGTCTAGCTAGACGACAGACGGAACTCCCCACAAGAACGCCTCTGCACCGTACATACCGACGGTTCCTTAGTAACCATATGAAAAATATACACGGCACGATTCTGTGGCATGTCGATAGCTCCCAGACCTTTTTATGGTGACCTCAAAAATCTTTATTTACCCTTATGAAACCCACTCGCAGTTTCCCCCGGAATGCCATATGCCTTGTCCCAGTTACGGAGCGACACTGCCAGGTCTCGGTTGCTGTTGGCACAGTTTCCAATGGGATCCAGATTGACTCGGTCAGTCGGCGGTTGGTTCGTCATTGTTGCCAATAGGGGAGGAGAAGTGTGAAGGGCGAGATCATATTTACACAGTGTGTAGAATAACCGCACGCGCCTCCTACTGTGATACGAGAAACAGTTTTTGAGCGCTCCATTCCAGGGAGGTGTAACCTGAGCTCCTCGCTTTACAGAGTCAGTTACGAAATAGGCCCTGTCACATTTGTCGTACGATTGTTGTACGATCAAACTAAAGGCATTCTTGGGATACGGTCGTGCATGTGCCGTACAAAATTTAGCTGCCTTGGTATGAAAAAAAAGCAATCTTAGGTTGTGAGTGGTTGGCTCTATCAATTGACAAATGGCAATTCGAAGACAAAAGCCTAAATACAACCGCGCCGCGTAACTAGCGGATCGGGACTACCAAAAGGTCTTTCATCCATCAACATGAAATCCAGAACAGATCGGTCCTTAAGGTCTACCTTTCACTGCAGTGGGGACATTTCTAGACATCAGTAACACAACAGCTAGTCCTCCCTCCGTGACCTCATGCGACTCGTGAGAGGAAACTTCAGCAAACATCACTTCCTTCCTCTGGCCAAATCGCTATAGCAGATACAGGTGCGAAATACCCGTGTTGAAAAGATGACGCGGGAAACACTGAATGTGAATCAACAGTCAGTTTGAAAACCATATCCACAGGAACTCACTTAACGATACATGACAGAAAGGGCATTCGTTCATCAAACGTACGTACATCGATAAAATCATCATCACAGTGACAGCCCCGTTGACAGAAGACTACTAGTACTAGCAACGAAGGCTTTTAACTGGTGTTTGATAAAGGGTACCGATTTTTCAAAAGGGGCTTAGGCAGAAAATGTTTGAAACATTTTTCACGCGTATATGTAACATTATGTCTTCTGTTTGTCATGGTCGAGACGGAACTTCGAATTCCGTAATATCTCAAGACTTGAGATATTACGGAATTCGAAGTTGAGACTTGAGACTCAAGTTCATGATCAACTTTCAGTACTTTTATCGATCCAGTGTTGACTGTGTACAAGGTATATGTAGGAACCAGGAGGCAACTGATATTCTGAATATTAACTTATGTCTTAAGTGTACTTTGTATGAATTATCAAAATTCTGAAGTTAACACTGAGATGTAGGAAAACGAATACCTCAGAGGGAGCAAGTTAAAAATAGAATCAAAGAACGTAAGGATAGTCAAATTGGGTCAACAGGTCACGACTCGACCACGCGGAGGTATAGTCATGACTCATGTCATGTACCGTAGGTTGCGGCCAACAGCAAGACAACAGTCCGATCATGATAGTCCCAATTAATCAATATTAACAGTTCATCGCCCAATGACAACATGGAATTATCGGTTGAGAGAGTGGCTGCATGCATGCGCATGTTAAATATCTGCATTTTTATGCTTCATTTTGCCTATAACGTTATATACGTTTATATGTAGGAGGGTGGGTGGGGCTACATAGAATCGGTATATTACACGATATGGAACCGTGTCTAGTACTCCTTGGCACTTCATCGATCTCCGGTCTCTGAGTCGACTTGTTTGGAAGGCTGACCTTTAAACAAAGTGAACCATCCACGTAGGTGGTTCCATTGGACCAAAGCAGCGACCTTCGGACACGTCAGTCACCTGTGTGCCTTCAGCCCACTCTTTTCAAAACATATTCAACCCAAGTGGTCACCAGATGCACTTTAGGCTTACGAGACAACCCCTTGTAATAACCCCTTCTACTCGAGGCGCTAGGCCGCTAGGCCGCTGAGCGACCAAAGATTTGACAGATCACTTTGCGATTTCATAGGCAAAGACTAGCCTCCTTCACAGACTTGTAGGGCTCGGCGTTACTTTTTTTCGGTGAGCGGCGCGAGTTATGCCGTGGAGGGACGATAAGGTCGCCGAGTGAGTTTTGCCGGGGAGAGACGGTTTCGCTGCCCGTCTCTCCCCAGCAAAACTCCCTGGGCGACGACCCTATCGTCCCTCCACGGCATAACTCGCGCCGCTCACCGAAAAAAAATTAACCGCAGCCTACAAGTCTGCGAAGGAGGCTAGGCAAAGACGATACTTTTGCGTCGTGCATCATACAGCAACTATAAAATCATGGGTCACACAAACCCGCTGTATCTTATTCGCTCGAGGTCTGCGATTGCTATCTGACGGAAAGGGAGGTGAAGATAGCGCAATATTTATTTATTTATTTATTGAAAATGCAACAAGACATTACACTGACTCTCAAGGCAGCAAAGCTGATGTTAGAGAGTCAACACATAAGGACAAAACATATAGGGCACATAATATCAACAGTGTGAAATTACAAAAAAAAACTAGAAAGGCCAATATTTGCTTTGGAGCAAATACAGCGATGGGTTCACCACATTTTACGACATGGCAGGGAAAGAATGAGAAACACAAGGGAAAACAATGATTTACATTGATATAACTATAATATGAAGTAACATACGACTAAAACAACAGTTGGATAGCTATTCCCTATTTTATTGGTTAGGATTTTTAATTGCATAATGCAAACTGTTGATTTTCAAAATAAAAATAACGTTCATGCCCCGCATTCCAATGCTGGAGCAGGAAAGCTTGAAATACCTACCAAAACACTTGAATACAGACATACTGTCAGTATGGAAATGCTCTGTGCAGGTGTTAATCAAGTTAAATCCCAACAGCCAATCAGCAAGAAGAATAGAGGAAAGCTGCATGCCTATTGGTTGATGCCCTGCATTCCATTGTGATGACTCATACCCAAACGTGGTAAACATGGCACACTAACACAGTAATACATTTGCTATAACACAGCCAAAAAACTCAAATAAAACCATTCTAAAAGCCTGTATCACAAAAATTTAAAAAACGCCTAGGGGTATTTGCCCACTGTACCTCCATACCAAATTTCAGGACCTTAGGCCCTAAAATGAAGAAGCTGAATCCATTTAAAAAATGGCAGGAGAAGAAGAAGGAGGAGGAGAAGAAACACCAGAAAAAGCAGTATGGTTTCATTCGTGGTGTGGTGAACCCATAATGATCATAAGAACCTATATCATTCCAATTAGCCGAGTAAATATATGTACACATCTAAAATAACACATTTGGAGGTCAGAGGTCGATAAAATAAGTCACAGTCAGACTACCTTATATGAGAAAAAAAAGGATACTAAATAACAAGGTTTTACCGCAATATTTTACCGTACTAGCGACAAAATAAGCACAGAGAAGTTTTAACCATTTATTTGTATAGCCAAAAGCAACATAATAAAATTCAAAGATGAAGTAAGACAAAGTTCAGAAACGCTTTTGGATTAGAGTATCTCAAACCTTCTACTCTTACATTTGGCTGTGGTTTGGAAGAGAATCAGTGTTTGGCTACAGTACATGTGGTTTGGAAGTGAATCAACAATTTGAACACCACAGCTCCCTGTAGGCACAAACTTGCCCTGGAGGTCAGTGACCTTGACCCAGTTGGTGGAGATGAGTCACGGTTTCGTCTAGCCTACTTCCGAACTGATGGTGTAAAACACGGGCTTGTCCTTATATTAACATCTCTTTCTGACATGACGTTTAAGAATTACTGCTCCATGCCAACTTCAACATGTCCTTTGAGTATGCGGTACTGTGAGACTCTGGCTGAGAGTGTGCCAATTCAATATACTCATGCCAAAATGTAACATCTTTGGATCGGTGCCTCTGGTGGGATATCACCAGGTGTTCACTGCTGAGAAAACTGGTGGAACAGGTCCAGACCACAACAAGAATGAAGGAGCCATTTTCTATCACTCGACAGTGTGCCCAGACTCCCACAAAAATGTGACCCACTGATATTTCATGTTGTTAGTTTTGGCATGTCATACAGCTATGGGTATGTAAGGTTGAGTATGTCTGCATGAGATCTTGAAAAGAAATGGGGTTTAAAATGAAGCTTGACAAGAAACTAATATTATGTGTCCAACTTCATTCTGAAATTGTATATGAATTAAAATCTTCCAGTTGATCAATCAGTTATTAAAGTAATAATTATTTGCCACTATTATTATTCCACTTGAGTGAAATGCATCCTTTTTAATGAGATCAACCTTATCTAGCAGATCCTTACCCTTAAACACATATTGCCATGTAAAGCATCCCTACAGTCCCTCCATTTGATTCTGTGGTGGTTACATTTTGTGGTAGGAGAAAAAAAATTGCAATGTTTTAAATTCACACTTGAAACAATTCGGTATTGCAGTAGATATACAAGGAATGCATACATGCATATCTTGATATTTGCAGTGGCATTGGTAATGGAGAGGTCACCATGAAAGCTGTGGTAGTAAAACCACAGCAAAAGTTTCTATATTTACAGTAAATAAGGTTATACAGTTGGCATGACACTTGTAGCTGGTTTCTTTCCCTTTCTTTTTCTTTTCCTCTTCCTTTTCCCGGCAGTCTGTCCACTTTTCTGATCCCCAGTGTCTGATGTTTTCTGTTTCTTGGGTTTGCACGACAGAGGGTTTGGTGCTTTGGGTCTTTTTCGCTTTTTCTTTTGCTGCACTGTTGTTGGTTCATCTTTCATAGCTTTCAACACAGATGCTTCATGTTCCGATAAACCAATCTGTAACAGAAAATGAAGCATGTTAATATCTTACTAAACACAGCACGTTGTACTTGTCTATGTAATACTTTGATGAGACAATTTATAATGGTAAAGCAAACATATAAATATTGTATCATTACCTAAAAGAAATGGCAATGATTTGAATTCTGCACTGGCTGTAGACTATCTATTTTGGAATGAACTTTGGCTCAGCCAACTGACATTGATATTGATGATTCTGCAAGACTTGCTACTATCTGGTTTATTACAGAAACATCTATAAACCAAGTTCATTATTAAACTTTTTAAAACAAATTCGAAAGGCTGTATTTCTACAAAGAAATAAAAAAAGGCCATTGCTTTAATTTCCATATCTATGACATATGTCTATTGACATACCTTAGTGTCCTGTAATCCTTCAGCTTTAGCCACTGATCTAGCTGAGGGTCTGTCCAGTACTGGTGTGGCTTTGTTTAGGTACAGCAGTGGCACTGCTGGGATGTTCTTCAGTTTCTGTGTCAGCAGAGGGTCCTGATTTGTGATGAGAAAAGGGGAAACATGTATCTGTTTGTGTTACAAAAGCAATATGGCATATGAAAGCCCAATGATAGATTACACTTACAGTGTACATACTGATCATAGAAAGTAATTAATCAAAGTAACAAGAATAACAAGCAGCAGCATTTATTCAGATACTTTTCTGTGGATATGCATCAGTTTCTTACTATTGATATAGCTACATCATGTGATTGTAACTGTAAAGACTAACAATGTATTGATTTTGGCTGATTTTGGCATTCAACATTTCAACCAAATATGGCAATATTTGTACACCTGCTTCAGTGAGTAGATGTACCTCATCTACGAACCTGGGTTGCAACAAAGTAGTGCTGTTCATTGTGGGGCTTTACGAGACTCAGCAGACAGTCAGCGGCTGGCACTGGTGCTCCCTTGTGGCCACACTTCCTGGGTTTGAACCGCTTGGCAACAAGGAAAGCTCCGTACATCAGTTGTCCGAAGGCCTCCAGCTCGGCCAGGACACAAGAGGTGGTCAGCAGTTGGACATTACCCTCCAGGTACTTGGGAAGCTGTTCCTTTATGTCAACCTATGTTTCAAGAGATATCAGTAAGACATAAAACATAAACTGTCAGCACCAAATGATCATGAGTCACTCAGTCCCAAAGAGAATTAGGTGTATATATACTGTGTTACAAAGGTGATAATATGTAGAGCTGAACCTCCTTCTTTAAGGTTAGGACTGTCTTACTTTTTCAAGCAAATTTGGAGCTCACTATACCTTAAACTGTAGAGCTGCCTTGCAGAAAGTTCCATCTATCAGCACCTGGTATGGCTCGTTGTAACTGAAATTGTTCTTGTAAAAACTCAGGACATGACGAACGTTCTTCTGTCTCTTGACCTTCATGACCTACAAATACCTGAACAAAAGGATAAGGTCAATTCTTAACAATATAACCTCAATTAACATTTATCCGCCAAGTTACAACTTACATGTATCTGCCGCGCCACTTTGAAAAACTTGAGACCAAGGTGTATCCCCAGGTATGCATGTAGTAAAATCTGTACATTTTACTAGTTAGATGTTTCTTTGGAGATAAATTTAGATGCATTCTTTTGGGTGGCTGATATAAGTGACATTGCAGAATTATAGTAGAATCTACTAGATGCTGTATAGTGTTATCTATTAGTATTAATATCAGCTGAGACTTTCAAAGTTTTAATATGCAACCGATCATACACAAGCTTTGTGTGTCCAAATCCCTATCAACTTATTACCTTGCATACCATAGAACATATAAATTTAGCTGATTTATTTTTATTCTCAGGAGTCAAATTGCTTTTCAGCGAGCTGTGGAAACTCTCCACTCCTACTATAATAAATCAGCAAGGGCATGCAATATTTTCGTTTTACCAATTTCCTTACACTTTTGCCAGATGCTTATCGTGCAGTGCTTTCATCAACATTCTGCAGTAACCTTTAAAAGTTAAGTGGAGGAAAAGGTTTTAGGAACTTCCATGTTGACATGTAGCAGCCCGCAGCTGGTTTTTGAGGGAGGGGGGCAGTAGTGTAAGTAGGGTTAGTTAGTAAGAACATCATGCCTTACGGTGCGAAACCCACTTTCAGCTAAAGCATAATACTTTCACATACAGCTTAGATCGTAATGAGTAGTTGGGCAAGTGGTTGTGAACATATTCAACCTAAAAACAACATTTCTGAAAAGAACACAAGCAAACATACAAGAACTTCCCAAGGATCGCGCGTGCAGCACGTTGCTTTCTCGCAAGTTGGTCACAAATACAGCCTTACATTAGAGCCAGCAAGATTCGCATCAATGTTTTATTCATTAACAATAAAAACATCAATTGAAAGCATTAACTACAACTATAACTATTGTTAGTATGTAGAAAAAATATTATAACATTTTTAGTATCATGTATTATCCTTAATGGCCCAAAATGTGTTTCTTTTATCTGCAACTCAATATAGTGCGAATGAGAAACTCGTTTTATGACCATCACTTTGTGTCCAAGATGGCGGTCGCGGGAGAGCAAGTGAAACTCGTGCAGATTGACGGCTTGGTATGGGCTGGTTTTGTCTCTTTTACTATTCATTTCAGTTCGAAGATACTTTTAAGGAAATCAGAAAACTGCTGATCTAATTATTTATTCATTATTCGTGAACTAAAGTGTGGTTTCCCTCGCTTGAGTTAGCCCCCCTCCCACATCACTCCATATGCCACATGTGGTGCATGTGTCCAGTCTTGGATGTCAGAAACACATATGTGACGCGATTCTGAGCATAATTCTGTATTTCCATATTCCATATTCCCGCCTGGTACCCTTAAATAGCTTTACTACGTCGAATCAAATCCACATAATTTGTATGGTAGATCATGTAGATAGTCTACCAGATTCTATGGCCTGTATGGATAATTTGCTGTAAAAGAAATGAAGAACTCGGCCAAATATACTGAATAATTTGTCAGAGTACTGTAAGTCTACAAATTTCCGCGGTATATTTAGATTCGCGGAATTCGCGGGGACCTTTGTACCGCGAATCTATTTCCCCGCGAATATGTTTTGCGTAAGTGTGCCCCCCTCCCCACATGCATTCACGACGGACTTCGAGTTCAAGCGAAACACGCGATCCACAAATCACCGCAAATCAACTTTATTCTTAGGAGATGTACGTAGTTGAGTACTGTATCAAAACTATTAAAGTTAAACTGTTATAAAAAAAAAATTATATTCTGAGACACCGAATAGCGATAGCACTGGCCGTGTCAACCGCGTACCGCCCGCGTGTAGAGCGCCGGCCATACCGCTAAAATGCGGGCACATCGGGCATATCTACAAATATTCTGGCGAAAAATATAAATTATAATTGTTGGTACCTGGGAAATGTTACTTGGTTCTCTTTTGCTGGAGTTTTTTTCTTGTTTTGATGGGTATAAACGCTAGCGTAGCGTGGCTACAAGAAGGTGACCTTGGTACACTTCCGCATTCATTGAACGCCAAAATGTCACCGAATACGCCATAAATTGGCATAGCAATACATGTTTTCCTGAAAGATTCTTTTCATTATGCATTTCTTCACTACAGTGTCGATGTGTAGTTGTGGAAAATAGCGCTTTAGCTATTTCCGAAGGAAGAAAATTATTACTGCCGGCACAACGCAACAACCAATCAGAGACGCGTAATGCGGACATGTGATGCAATATTTGCATACCGACAGAGCATGCAGGCAGCCTTGCGTGGTGCAGGAAATATTTTTTTTGCGCCGCGTTTTAGGAGATAAATGCCGGGATACGAACTTTTATTTCTTTTATTCTTAAAATGCATTTTACAAATTCTTTTTTGAATAGCCAAGGAGAAATCGCGAATCTAAAAATACCGCGAAATGGCCATTTTCCCGAAACCGCAAACTTTAGGCCCCGCAAATCTAAAGAGACTTACAGTAACTAGCCACCTAGAGCTAGAGTTACTACTAATATACTAGTATCGTTTACAGCCAACATGAGTGGTTACTATTTTTGTTAACATCAATTATTAGTAGGCATATGCAAATATTTTTTATTGGTAGGTAACCGTTACATGTACATACAAATTATTGATATGCAAGTGTCAGCCAAGTATCACTTGCTTTTTGCCTACCAGGCTACTACTCACCACTTGTATGTAGTCACCATATTGCCAGGAGCCACAATAATGTATGAAGAAAAGTACCCCCCCCCCCTAGATCAAATATTGAAATAGTTAACATGTAAAAACCCTTCATTTCTTCAGGTTGTGCTGAAGATCATTAAACACTGTGAGGAGGAGGGGGCAGTGGGAGACCTGGTACAGGGGGTACTACTGGGACTGGTGGTGGACGACAAGCTGGAGATCACCAACTGTTTCCCCTTCCCTCGACATGGCACAGATGAGGACTTTGATGAAGGCATGTACAGTATATGTCTTCTGTGTACTTTTCTTCTTGAAACGTTGCAGTGGTTTTATTTTGTGGTTTTAGAGCAACAATACTCCAAATATGCATTTCCAATGTATTACAGAATCAGTATACATTGCAACTACCACAAAATAAAATCACTGCAAAAGTAAATTAATTAACTATATTCAAATGATTACTGATATGTTTTCCAACAACATGACACTGATTGACAGATGAGATTGTAAGTTTAGGGAAGTTGTGTTGGTACATTTGTATTAAGAACAAAAGACACCAAGACTGCAACACTACATATATAGTTTTGATCCAGAAGACAGTAAAAATCTCATTTCCACTCCTGAGTCCTATGTCAAAATTATGTCCCTGCAAAAATAAATGAATTTACCATGTGATTTGATGTAATCCACAGTTCAGTACCAGATGGAGATGATGCGGAGTCTGAGGCATGTCAACATTGACCATCTCCACGTAGGCTGGTACCAGTCCACAGTACACGGGGCCTTCCTCAACAGAGCACTGCTAGACTCTCAGTTCAACTACCAACATGCCATAGAGGAGTCTGTGGTTCTGGTCTATGGTAAGTAACATTGGTGTTAAAATCCTTAAGTTATCTTCAGTTTCATTGAAAGTTATGTCAAATGCCACATGACTACTAGTATATGTCAATGTGTCCATGGTCACTGTGAATTAGTATTCCTTCCTGACTTCTGTGTTGTAAAACTTGTAATGTGCTTTCCTGTTCCAGACCCACAGAGGACTGCAGGAGGCTCCCTGTGTTTACGAGCATTTCGCCTGTCCCCCATGGCCATGGAGGCATACAAGGAAGGAGAGTTCACATCAGAGAGGTGGAGGACATATTATACTTATGTCAAGTTGTGTTCAGTGCCAGCATAATAGTTTTGGTTAAAATTTCACAGATATGTTTTTCCCAACCTTTTGATTAAGTGAGGAAGATGCCAACATGATAATTCATTGACTTGTTATCCACCTTCAAGTTCATTACTTTTGGTCAATAGCCTTTGGCTTTGTAAATGTTAACTGTCACTTTGCCATCTTCTTAATGCCTGACATTTTTTACAGCTTTAAGAAGCACGGTCTGGGCTATGAGAATCTGTTTGAGGAGATCTCAGTTGTCATTAAGAACTCCAACCTGATCAACGTGCTGTGCTGTGAGCTGATAGAGAAGGCCCCCAGGACACAGGAGAGTGACTTCCTCAGCTTAGCTGCCAGGTCAGAGTCAGTTATTCTGTATACAGTTGTACAAATATGTACTTGTATTCATTAGCAACTCGGAAGCCTTCCTCTGATACCTGAACCTTCAGTCTCTTAATCATTCTGGCAAGGTAATTTTGTGCTAAGGGCAGGTGCTCAGATCCCTAGCAGATCCCAATGTTTGCCTTTGACAAAGACATGTTACACCTTTTTCCTCACCCGACTGTCGTAACCTTAAGTTAGGGATGTTCTCTTGGATGGAACATATGGCCAGTGGTCCTGTGGATTTGTTAGGAGTTTGATAATATAACCTTCATCTTTGTTATATTTTTTCTGACCAGTACCCTGTCCCCTATGGTCTCTGAAAAATTGAGTTTTGCATGAATATACGAAGACACAAATAAACACCCTTTTGGTAACAAGCATGACTTTTTTTATGATACTAACTTGTTTAGTGCCTGTTATTTTTTGCCTGTACAGTGGTTCCCTAAGCAGACAACTGCACTGCCTGATGGACTGTGTGGATGATCTGAACCAGGAGACAACCAAGTTCAACAACTACCAGCGCAACCTGGCCAAACAGGCACAAGCCAAGAATCAGTACTTGCAGAAAAGGGTTAGAACACTTAATTTGTAATAAATAGTTGGTTTAAGGATTTTACCTGATTTAAACTAACCAATGGCTCAAAATACCACCTGCATACACTGGTTATGTTAGTACTGGTGAAATTGGAGTTGTTCATCCAGGTAATTTCTAAACTGTACCTGCTCCTAACCTGCATGTACTGAGTACTACTACTCACTAGTACTACTGCATATAGATTACTTCACTGTACTGATTGTTACTACATCAAAAATTGTGCTAACTGTTGTCTTCTCTGCCTGCCTCAGCAACTTGAGAACAATGCCCGGCAGGCAAAGGGAGAACCACCGTTGCCTGAGGAAGATATCACCAAGATCTTCAAACCCATTGCCCCTCCTCCCCGACTGGACGCGCTCCTGCTGTCAGGACAGTTGGCAAGTTACTGCAAGCAGGTATGCTCATTCCAGTCTAATGTTTCAATGTCAAGGCCACACTGAATTGGCTGTATGGATAACATCCTTGGGACACTCCAAAACTGATGCAAGTGTAGATTGTGCTTTTATGAAGTAATTATCTGGAAGTTTTATTCAACAGTTTAGATAGTTAGTAATCTTATGCAACACATTGCCTTACATTGTACCTGTTACAATTATTGAGCAGTATACCTTGACTTGCCTTCACTAAGGTCTAAGAGGTCAGGAAGGTTTAACAAATGACTAAATACACAGAGGTACATAGTACATATATTCTATTTTTTGTTATTTTATTATTCTATATCTTTGTTCCTAGTGAATTCTTTCATCAGTGACAACTTTGGAAGGATAAGGATACTAACCTCCAAATTTTCGATGGCTATCAGTCCATCTTGTTCACGGAGTGGCCTAATCTCGCGAGAGTGCTAGACTAGGCCCGAGACTTGCCTATCTTTGACTTTGGAAGGCTTGGTTCAGGCCATTGACTCAGGACTACATTTTCAGCTGAGTTGTACTGATGCACATTAAGATGGAAAAAAAGGCATTCTACACTAATGTACATTTTCTGATATATTTCTGCAATCTATGGCATGTATTCATATTATAATGTTTGTATAATAACTGTAGTTCCTTTCTCACAATGTGATGTTGCCATTTGTTTTTTTAGATCACCGACTATGCAGCCCATAGTTTTGGCAAAGTCTTCATGGCCAAGGCCCTTCAGGAGGATACCCAGGGCAGTGCAGCTCAGCCGCCGTCACTCTAATATAACACAAGGCAGCAGCATGTCCTCTCTTTCAACTCAACCTACACCTACAGGGAATGTAACATCTTTCCAGCCTGAGAAAAGTTCTGTGGAGAAGAGAATTTTTTCTATGCTTCTTATTATAGTTGTTATCAAATTCTAATGTATACCATCAAATCAGGGTTTGTTGGAAATAAAGTAATGAGCTAGGGGTGGACTACATTTTTAATGTATGTGTTGGAAAATACTCACAAAAGCTGTCGTGTTCAGAACATGTCCACAGTCAAGACTACGTGTACACATTGATACTCGAACATAATGGATCAGTACTTCTTGTGTGTGATTCCTTGAACCGGGTTGTTTATCAGTTGGGATCAAAGAAGACATGTTATAGACACTTCATAAGCACAACCCCCAGAGAATAAAACAGAACATTGTAACTGAGTAATGATATTTCGTGAGCTTCTTCATTCCCAGAGTTCACTTATGCACAGGCAGGTGGTTCCTACTGCTCACACATAGTTCATACAGATATCTATATGTACATGCATGTCTCAGTGTGATTATATAATACTGTACTAGTAAATTCTTTTACTTCCATGGTGAATTTATTTTGCAGTAGGAGGGAAAAGGATACATGACACATATAGGTTTGACACTTGGGTATTACATGCAGAAGTCAATTTTCTTTTCATCTGTACGTTTTATACATGGGTCAAGAGGTCACTAAGGTTTTAGCAGATACAGGTTATTTACTAGTTACTAGGAGTACTCATTTGCATATCAAAGAAAATTGATTGACATGATATCCCAGCTTTTACTGGCCATTCAACTGTTAGGGATCCCAAAGGGGATTAAAGAAAGTAAGAAGTTGTGAAGCAAACAGAGCATGAAGGTATCTTCTGTATAAAAAGAAATCAATAGCAATTGTAGCATTTTTTTCAATGCACTGTTGCCCAGCTTGACACATGCATCACTGAAAACAACGCCCATTGGTTACAATGCCCACTTGTCTAGAGTATACCCTTCGGCTATAGGACAGGTACCACCTAACCCTTACCTCCCCTAGTCACCCACTGGGTGAACACTCATTTTCGTGTCCTTCTTACAACCGACAACGTTTAAACTATGAGAAAGGCGATCTGCTTGTAGTTTGAGTGTTGATACATCGTAGGAGAGTATAGGACACCATCTGAGATGGCTAAAGCACGTTTGACGTGCGTTCCGTTGTGGATTTCATGGATGGTTCTGCTGTCAGTTCTGGAGCCAACAGTTGGACTGGGCGTTGCCGAAGTGCACTGGGACTTAGGCGGTGATTTTGGTTAGTACGTTTAAGAATTATACATCTGCAGGTTACGTTATCACATAACGTTTTCACATTATTAGCACATGTCCGTAACTATTACCTACTATGTCAACTGAAACACATCACCAGTGGGGTAAACAACACTTATGTTAAGTCTCATGAAGGAACGCTGCATTATATAATTTCATGTTTAATTGTATGCATCGTTATTATGTGTACTTACATAAATGAAGGTGCTGCTGATAAGTTTATTTACTACTTCAAGAGCATTCGACGTAAAATGCACATTACATCACATTAAGAAAGCGTCTGCATTTTACTAATACAGCGTTTCTGATGCCCTACAAATTAAATGTAATCTTTGTACTAACTTAAAGCTAGCCATCTGTTGTTTACTTATACAGAGGCGTTGTCGGCATTTTTTGTAATATAATTTTGATGCGCGACGCATGCATATACTCGGATCAGTGAACAAATGTTTCTGTATCTGTATAGCCGGTATAACCGCCCTTCAGCGTAACACACCAGCTTAAGTTCCAAACTATTTAACTTCGTTTGGAATCATAGACTTTGGTAGTGAATGCTTGTTGTTACATGTATGTGTCAATCTTGGTGGGAAATACTGGTTATAACATTAGCGTTTGTCTCGAGCTTATTGATTATCTGCTCAGTTTCAGCACCACTTACTGTCCAGTCATGCGAGGCTTTTGGGCGCTAATGATCTTTTTTGGCATGTCCCTTTCCTCGCGTACTTAATTACGTGGTGAAACCGGCTCCGCTGTTACAGCAGTTTGAACAGTACTGTAATTACGCCCCAATATATATAACTCCTTAACTGCATCGACGATAAACGGCTATAGGCCAGTCCTACAGCCCCGCCAACCTGTGTCAAAACGTAGAAACGCAAAAAAGAGAAATATACAAATGCAAAAATATTTGACGGACAGCGGTTATCTCATTTGTCGAACTGATAATTGCCATGCTACTATTAGTTGAACTACTATTTGAGCAGTCTATCGCCACTAGGGACAAAAAAGCATATGGCCATGTAGTAGGAGTTGTACTAGTATTAATAGTAGTAGTAGTAGTTGTTGTTGTTGTAGCAGAAGTAGTAGTTTTTGTTGCAGCTTTGATCGCAGGTTTAGAATGACGTATGTTGCAAACTTTTCAACCTTTGGCCTTTGATTTGTGTAAGACCCGTCGCCGCCTTAGCCCGAAGCTAGGGAGTAACTAGGGTAAAAGACGACCCCTTGTGTCCAGCAGTTGTCTTCATGAAATGTAGGGTAATAGAAGCTTACTCATGGCTTGAGTAATGGCTGTAGAAAGGCCTGAGTAATATGCTGTAGAAATGACAACACACGCACTACAATTGTTACTATCCCACGCGACCATTAAAGCTTTTAAACGTAGGCTGACATCAGAAGCCATCTATGGTACACGGAAGAAACGATGTCCTGGGCAACATGATGCAGTCACATAAAGATTGTAGAATTAAGACCTCATGATCAGCTGAAAGTTCTTCAAATTGACCATAATATTATCTTCTTCCTCGCTTGTAGGTAATTTGTTGACGTTGGTGGATTATATTATTTCAAAATTGGATGAGAAAAAGATTCTAAAGTTTAGGACACGATGGCTCTTGCTATGTGAAGGAACGTCGCTGGGTGGCGCAGTTGAGAGTTTAGAAGTATACTTCGAACTGGCAAATCCCCAAACGTGACAACACAAAACATCGGATACATTTGTTTCATCCTGGTATACAATTTGTCATTCTATGACGAATGTGACCGCTCAGATAGTTGCGTGAAAATATGACGAGCCCTACAACTGACATGTTTGGTAACATTTGTCCTCAGCCGTTGATATCCCTGACTTCATCTTGCCGAGCGGAGTCAGAGTCAGGTTCAAGAGGAACGTCGCTGCTCCCGCCCTACCACCAACTGAAGCTTCGAAAACAACCTCTGGATGCACCAACAGTTCCAGGTAGGCCAAGTTTTGTTATTTTCAGGTACAGAAGTAATGTTTTTGGTGACTTGGCTGTGGGTTTGCTTGTCAGGCTGAGTATTTAGACAGATCGTGGGTGGGGAAGATTGACAGAATGGTGGAAAGGTTAGTCACAGGAAATGGGGCAAACATGCTCAAACTTGAGAAAGTAGATTGACCGCACGTAGTGGGAATCTTACGTAAGACTCAAATGCAACATACCGTTATTGACCATGGACCCGGTCACATTCGTCTCGAGATATACAATCGCAACTGACATTGTCATACATGTGTCGCAGACACAATTAAACTGTCTTATTACAAATAAGGCCACACTGCCTTAAGTTTATGGATGACATCCGCGCGCGCATTGATTTTCGCCTGTTCTCAAAAAAAAAAATCACGTTCCCCGAGGCTCTGGCCTGGGTACTCCAAGGTAGTTAGCGACAATACAGAGCCGGTTGTAACGGAGGATGTCACCCAGGCTATACCGAAGCTCCACGACTCAAGAACTCAGTACATACGTACAGTGCCGACTCATAAATTCCACAAAAGGCCAGCATGGGGCGGCTTGTCGTATACGACGCTATGTACTGCCGCAAATTCACAATAGCAGCTTTGTGTTTCTGTGGTTTAGTAGCATTTTTTTGGCCGGAATTCTTTATTCGCCCGCGCACACTAGTTAGGTGGTCTTCAGAGGATGTCAGCCATAAAATTAAGTCGGTGTGGCCTAAGGCTGTCTTGGGTCGATCATTGCCGACTATCGATTCCTTAGATAAAACCAAAACTTTAAAATCGTACGACGGCTCTTGAAGAATGTAATCGCGCTATAAGCATTATTGTTTAGGTTCTGAATTCTAAGCGGCTGCATATCGCTCCGTTTCAAGGGTCCAGCAGCTAAAGATCGGAGTGAGACTAAACCTCACCCGCTCCTCCATCGATGAAGCGCGAAGAGTGTTCCTGAACGCCACGAGAGAAGGGCGGCTGGGCTCCTTGAAAGTGAAGAACGGATCCGGGGTCTGGGGCCAGTGTCCGTACCGCCCTCCCTCCAACACATCGGAGAACCAGCGGATTCGAGTCGGAGTGCGGCTAAGTCTGGCTACCTCTGCGGTCGGGGAGGCGCAGAGCGTATTCCAGAACGGGGTAGTGGCAGGTAGACTGGGTTCACTCGACGTGGTGCCGGAGTCTGGATACTGGGACCAGTGCGTGAGCCATTCCTACAGGCCACCATCCGGGCCGCGCAGTCAGCGGGTTCGGGTCGGCGTTCATTTGAACATGACTCGGTCCGCTCACGCCGAAGCGCGAGAGCTGTTCCTCAACAACACCAATGAGGGACGGCTGCGCTCTCTGCGCGTGGTGCCACGGTCCGGGTACTGGAACCAATGTGGGAATGTCTCCATCATTCCTGAGAAACCAACACAAAGACAGCGCTTACAAATGGTGGTGAAGTTGACTATAAATGACACGACGATCGACGAGGCACAGAGGTTGTTCCTGAATATGACGGAGACAGGGAAGCTTGGCTCGCTGACGGTAGTGCCGGGATCTGGATACTGGGACCAGTGTCCGGCTCGTGTGCTCACACCGACTCCCAAACCACTCGGAAGGGTATGTACAACAGTCGTAGTTAGATGTATAAGTACTAGTTATTATTATTGTTTCTGTAAAACTATATCAGAGGGGAATATACCATTTTGACAACGTTGCTCCGATGTTTATATCTCTTTGATTTATTGTTGTAACACCGCCAAAAGCTCTGTTTTTTCAACTCGTGATATTATCACTACCGTGAGACATTTTACAGATCCAAATGTTCGAAATGCAAATCCTTCGTTGTGGACAGGTTCTGTTCGGAGTCGAGCTTTCTGTGCCGGTGTTTGCCATGAACGCGACCCGCCAGGTGTTCGAAGATCACATGGAGAACAACGGCACGCTGGGGCGTCTGGCGGTGGCGTCCGACACGGCAGAGTTTGGTAAGCACGCTCACCAGCTTTCACGCGATGATGTAGACTTTGGCCATGGATATTTACGCCACGTGGTATGGTTTACAATGGATGGCTTCCATTGCACCAAATTACACTTAACGTGCCTGTCACACATCCATGCACTAGGCCAAGTAACCACAGCCTTACCAGAGTTTGCTTTGAGCAAGTTCATACCATTAATAATTTTTCCAACATAACATATATATATGATATTCCAAATGCAGGTGCCTTCCGCATGTACACTTCATTCATCCTGGAGCAGAGGTATAACGACAGCCTGGACGACCTGACGTCACCGGAGTCTAGAGTTCTCATTGGCCTTGTGGAATCTGCGGTAAGAGCACGGTCCTTCTTTAAACATTTCAAAGGTCCGGAAGCATGTATGTTTTGTTAACTGTCAATGACATGCAATGCAAGGAGCCGGACACATACACCGTGAAATCATGGTGCGATCCTAAATTGAATGCATTCTTGGGGTATCGATAGTCATGCATTTGTCCCTCAAAATTCAGCTGTCTTGTTACATGAAAGTTTGTCGGCGGTTGGTTCTGTGACAGTCTTCTTCAAAATCGTGCGACATCAAAATCGTACGACGTAAACCATCAGATTATGAAGCGTTATAGCTTTGAGAGATGATGTTGAGTTGTTCTTTATTTTTAAAATAGATGATGATAACATTTTATTCCTTTACCTGTATCTGCAGGTAAGGATGGCGCTTACTCGTGTTATCGGAGTTCAGTCAGTGGAATTCTATGACTTCAGACGAAGGTGAGATGTCTCAAATTTCAAAGACAAATTTTGCGATTTTAATTTGCAAACACAAATCTTGGTAAAATATGACTGTAGCTTTGTGACATGTGTACGATGCTTACCTAATACTTGCACATAATTTGCTGCCTCTTCCTTCCTCCAAAAGTTCAAGCGAGAAGAAACCTGTCAGTATTGTGGGGCTGACTCTTGGTGCCACCTCGGTCACCTCTGCGGAGCAGGCCATCTGTTCGTGTGTGCGCGCGGGGGAGATCGGAAGTCTCACCGTAGACCCCACACACTGCACCTTCGAAGCTGTCCGTGAGTACGAGTAACTGGTGATTTTGGTATCTCAAGGTAATGTTTAAGGTGACTTTGTCTGCTGGCTTTGATGTTGTTGCATGCAGTGACAGGAAGAGGAGATCTAGATACATGTATTTGATTACCGCAGATTGATATTCAATAATGGTTAACTTGAAAGAAAGTGGTGGCGGGGCATTTTTTGACATTTATAGTTCTTAGTCTTGTGTTTGTGTATGTCTCAAAGTTGATGCGTTAGAACTATATTGATTTCTTAGTGAAATCTGTCTCTTCCCGATGTTTCCCTAGCACCAAGCTGTCGGAACGTGGTGGACTTGGTGTTCCTGGTCGAGTCGTCAGACGCAGTAGGTCAGGACGGCTTCCCCTGGGTCCAGCGTTTCATCGCGTCAGTGATGGGTGCCCTAACGATCGGGCCGGACCACTTCCAGATAGGGGTGTATCAGTTCAGCAATGTCGTCCGTCAGGTCGTTCCTCTTGGTGCCTACTCCGAAAGGTACATGCCATTTTTATAAGGGTCGTTAACGACCACAATCTGGAGGCATTCTTGGGAAAGTTGTACAGGTGTCGCATACAGAATTTAGTAGTCTTGTTTTTGAGATAACTATCATGATCTTGCTGGTGGTTGGCTGTCATAGCCTGCTTGAAAATGCTACATGTAAGTACTAGTAAGAGTTGAGTTCAAGTTTGTTCCAACACAAAGAAATATAACTCACCATAAATTTTTGGTCGAACTCGTCAACCTTCGTCAGATGAATGATGCACTCGCTGACTCTCCGGAAGTAGGCGGAAGCGTGACGACGTCAGGAACGCACCAAAAGTGGCGTGAAGACGGAATCTAGTTGATTGGCCCTGCAGCTTGAACTCTATAACTATGGATTCTACCAACACAGATGAGCTTTCATTCGAAGTACTTAGTTGTTTGTCCTTTTACTAATCGTTTATTGTCTTCACTTTTCAGTGCTGACATACAGCGGCAAGTCAGGTCCATGGCTCTGCTCGGAGGCGAAACCAAACTGACCTCGAGCACGATTTACGTCCTGCAGAACGGGTTCCGGTCAAAATCCAGAGTGGGCACTCCCAAGGTATTGAACACCTGTTTTAAGTGAATTAGATTTTACAGACCAATCCTGCCTGTCCGTCATGTATGTGTACCTGCCTGTGCCCATGTATGCGATGTAAACAAGAACAATGATCACTCGTATTTCTGTAGGTTCTTGTTCTTTTGGTGAGCGACAATTTCACCGCCAGCGGAAACAGAATGGTGGCCCAAAAAGCTGCCCAGAACGGAGTTGCGGTGTTCGGCATCGGGGTTGGAGGAGGCCCGTTGCGGGGACAGCTGGAGAGATTGGTAGGAACGACCACAGCCGTCAGCGTCGCTACGAACTTCACGAGACTGAAACAAGTAGAAAAGGGTGTCTTTAACAGTCTCTGTAATGGTACGCCCATTTGTTTACTTCACTACATTTGACAATATAAACGAGATACGTGTTTTCAGTAAGATACTTATTAGATGAAACCTCATATATGGTTTGTTGCTCGATGGTTTGAATTTAGGATGTGAAAAGCCTGTATACCATTAACACTACAATCTTAACGTGTAATTCCTTTCCTAAAATGAACACGTATAAGAGTATCAAACACTAAGTGGGTTGTTGAACAAACATCTTTATTGTAACGTTTACATGTAAGCATTGCAAGGTATTTCCGTCTTTTCAAAACAGTTGGCCGCTTCCTGTTCGGCCAGATTGTCATCAGAAGCCGATTCAACGAGACTTTGCGAGACCCAGCTTCCCAGGAGTTTCTCAGCCTGACTGCACAGTTTAAGGAAGGGGTGAGTAAACAGTAAAAAGAACACAACATAAATTAAATTTGCTACCTAGTGCTTCACTGTGTATTGTAAGTAACCCCAGGCTTACGGCTCTTTGATCTGACGAGGTTGAGGTCCATGAAGTAAAGGCACGTTCTAGTCAGATGTTTTATCTATCTGTCATATTATGATTCAATGTTGACCTGCTTTGCAGACAGCATTCAATCCGGTTAATCTCTGCTTATATTATACTAAAATTTGGTGGATTAAAATTGTTTCCCAGATGTCTAGCATGTTTGTCGGAGGCAACTGCCTGCAGCGGATCGTAGTGACAGAATTTCGTGGAGTTGGGTAAGAAAACATTCGATTTCAACTCATTTTTAAACAAGAGTTCCACGATCTCATACCTTCGCCAAATAATGTTAACCCTTGCGGGTGATGAATTATACAATTCTAATAATTGATTTTGTAAATAAGAGCCTCATTTGCATGGATTATATCAGTTGATCATATTCTCCACCCAATGACAGCCTTCTCTTAACAAAAAGGCTATTATAGCACTTCCACATAAATTATGCAAATCAGGTCATGATTTGAATAAATTATGTTTATTGATGTTCACCTTCACTTAACTTCCAAATGTGGCAAGTATAAATTCGGGGTGCAGCAGTTACAACTATGGAATTATAAACATTTTCATTAATTATGCAAATTAGGTCCTCATTTACATAATCTATATCCTCAGATGTTTTTCTCGTTCTCAAGTAGATGCCACAAGTGTTTCATAGTTCTATTATCGAACAAAGCAGATTTATAGAATTTCCTCATTAATTATGCAAATTAGCTCCTGATTTGCATAATTGCCATCTGATTATGTCAAGCATCACTTCAACTACCTACATACCAAAAATCACGACAATATGTCAACCGGTTCTTGAGTTATCGTCCTTCAAATTTTTTTCAACAAATGCTCCTGCAGTTCCAGAAAAAGGCGCTAGGGGACCCAAACTCATGTCACTTCTTTCCTACCCCAAGAGCTATCTACCAACCAAAATTCGTGACCCTAGCATGTCCAGAACATGAAATATCAAAACCGGAAGTTCAGCTGCAGTACCTAGGAAAGCCGCCAGGGGGCCCAAAATCTAATCATGTCTAGGTCTCATGAAGACCTACCCACCTACCAAGTTTCATTCCAATCCATCCACTGCTTCTCGAGTTATCTTGCTAAACCACACACACACACACACACATACACACCCACACACAGACAAACGCTACTGAAAACATAACCTTCTTGGCGAAGGTAATAATTAAATGTTTATCATACAGATTCCAAACTAAACAAGAGTTCCGAGATCTCATACCTCCATGAAATATGGGCTTGATATGTACATGTAAATTTCTTCTTTAATTACGCAAATTACCAAAAATTAACATAATATATGCATCGTGATGTTAACTTTTGATTAACTTAAAGATGTCCTAAGTATGACATTCCCATCATTCACCATTGAGAAATCATAGATTTTTTGCATTAATCATGCAAATTAGGTCATCATTTGCATAATTAGTATCTGTTGATGTTCCATCTGCCATAGGTTACATACATTACATGTACGAAAGTTCTATAATGTAAAACACTGTAATTATAGAATTTCCTCATTAATTATGCAAATAAAGTCCTCATTTGCATAACTTGCAGTTAATTATGTACATCTCTCTGTCAGATACCTACACACCAAAAATGATGAAAATACGCCATTCCTATCTGGACTTATTGGCTTTCAAAGATTTCGCCCGAAAGTCCCCTGCAGTTCCTGAACAAGCTGCTAGGGGGACCAAACCCACACCACTTATTCCTGACAGGAAAAGCTATCTGTCACCAAAAATTCAAAACCATAGCATGTTCAGGACCAAAGATACAAAAACCGGAAGTTCTGCTGCAGTACCAAGGTCATCCACCAGGAGGCCCATATTTGACCTTGACCTTTGTCTTCCTTAGACTTATCAGCATACCAAATATCATCACAATCCATAAAGGCGTTATGAAGTTATGCTGACTACAAAGTTGTGGAAACACACACAGACACACAGACACACAGACAGACGCCGCCAAAAACAATACCTNTCGAGCACGAATTACGTCCTGCAGAACGGGTTCCGGTCAAACTCCAGAGTGGGCACTCCCAAGGTATTGAACACCTGTTTTAAGTGGATTAGATTTTACAGACCAATCCTGCCTGTCCGTCATGTATGTGTACCTGCCTGTGCGCATGTATGCGATGTAAACAAGAACAATGATCACTCGTATTTCTGTAGGTTCTTGTTCTTTTGGTGAGCGACAATTTCACCGCCAGCGGACACAGAATGGTGGCCCAAAAAGCTGCCCAGAACGGAGTTGCGATGTTCGGCATCGGGGTTGGAGGAGGCCCGTTGCGGGGACAGCTGGAGAGATTGGTAGGAACGACCACAGCCGTCAGCGTCGCTACGAACTTCAAGAGACTGAAACAAGTAGAAAAGGGCGTCTTTAACAGTCTCTGTAATGGTACGTTTATTTGTTTACTTCACTACATTTGACTATATAAACGAGATACGTGTTTTCAGTAAGATACTTATTAGATGAAACCTCATATATGGTTTGTTGCTCGATGGTTTGAATTTAGGATGTGAGAAGCCTGTATACCGTTAACACTACAATCTTAACGTGTAATTCCTTTCCTAAAATGAACAAGTATAAGAGTATCAAACACTAAGTGGGTTGTTGAACAAACATCTTTATTGTAACGTTTACATGTAAGCATTATATTTCCGTCTTTTCAAAACAGTTGGCCGCTTCCTGTTCGGCCAGATTGTCATCAGAAGCCGGTTCAACGAGACTTTGCGAGACCCAGCTTCCCAGGAGTTTCTCAACCTGACTGCACAGTTTAAGGAAGGGGTGAGTAAACAGTAAAAAGAACACAACATAAATTAAATTTGCTACCTAGTGCTTCACTGAGTATTGTAAGTAACCCCAGGCTTACGAGGTTGAGGTCCATGAAGTAAAGGCACGTTCTAGTCAGATGTTTATCTATCTGTGATGATTATAATTCAATGTTGACCTGCTTTGCAGACAGCATTCAATCCGGTTAATCTCTGCTTATATTGTACTAAAATTTGGTGGATTAAAATTGTTTCCCAGATGTCTAGCATGTTTGTCGGAGGCAACTGCCTGCAGCGGATCGTAGTGACAGAATTTCGTGGAGTTGGGTAAGAAAACATTTCAATTCAACTCATTTTTAAATTAAATGTTTATCATACAGATTCCAAACTAAATAATTCTGGGATTTAAAAAATGGCATATACATTTATTTTGCCATGTCTCGAACATTTCCTGTTCAACATAGCAATGCTCTGGAGACCCAGGTGACTTTTCAAGTCATATTCGACAACACGCTACTCTGCCAGGACAACATAATAAACACCTTCAACTCAACTGTGTCCCGGGGACGGATTGGAACACTGGCAGTTGACTCGGTGTCGGCTGAACTGGGTGAAGGAGGTAAATTTACCATTTAAAGATATGCCCTATGCTTCTAAGAAATCATTAGAACATGGGCCCTGATTTGCCGAAGTGTTAAATGAGGCCAGGATAAATCTAAACGCGCGGTTGACGAAGTAGAAATCCCAAGCAAGCTGTGACGAAACCAACAAGGTTGAAAGCTTCCTTCCTGTAACAAGACAGTTGGATTTTTCGGGACACAAATTCATGCACGGCTATTCCAAGAATGTCTTATAATAAGTAGTTTGCAATGGTACGACGATCGCACAACTTATGTGACCAGGCACCCGGGCCACAAGTCACCGGTGAATAGGTCTTAAGGATTGTTTTTTAAGATTGAAAGTAAAATCTTCAAAAGCAAAGACGAATCAGAGTGAAATATAATCTGCTTTACAAACATTTCGCTACAGCATTTAAAATGAAGTTAATGAACAGTTGTTATTTCAGGAGGAGTGTCAGCCTATGCCACTGTGACCATTACAAGTCAGTGCTTCAGGCCAGCTTTACTAGACGTTTCATCAATAGAGTACAGTCAGTTCAAAATCCAACTTGAGGTGCAGGTAAGGATATAACCAGAAGGTTATAATTTCTTTCTCCAAGATTGTGGATTCCTCTGCCCCTACGTACACTGGAAATTTTAGTTAAATGAATCCATCAGATTTATGAAAATAGCTACTAATTGCACTTTCGTTTGTCATGGTACAGCTTCTCAGCGTGTTTTCAAATGTGGAAGGCATTCGGTCCGTCCAGATTCAAGAAATGTCACCTGGGTATGTTACTTTGTACTTAAAGATTCGTCTTTGATAAACTATGTCTTTAATTGAATCAATCATTGCTGTTCATCAGTTGTTTAAAAAAAGTTATGTATACTCACTGCGGCCTTTATCTCTTGCAGACCTTCTGGCTGTTCGATCAGTGTTGTCATTCGGTTGCTGTTGAGAGCAAGAGATTTCCAGATGACACAACAAGTCTTCATACAGGCTGTGTCTGGCGGAAGCCTGGGGGTTTTCACGATTGACCAGAGTACAGTCTTTTTCGGCCGCACCGGTGAGGTTTGAGTCTACAGCTATGGTTATCATTAAGTTGCTTTGATATATTTCTTCTTGAAACAACTTACGTCATTTATACCCACGACTATGGTTGCTATACGCAACGGGTGCCCTGTAAACAGTAGACCGGATACTGTAGCCCTGCCCATCTCCAACATAGAAATGCAAAATAAAAACGTGTAAAAGAAAATATCTGACGGACATGCAAGCACTTTCCCATTGGTCGAACCAATGATTGCTATGCTATCATTGGCTAAACTATTAAGTGTGATGGGCAGTCAGGATTGGCCTCGAGTGTTGAAATACTGACATCTGAATATGTTGTCTACTCTCTACTGTGCATTTACCACTAAGCAAACTTAAAATCGACATTCTATATTGCATGACTGTGACAACAGAGCCAGTGTGCAGGGCGCCACTTGACATCGTCTTCGTCTTGGACGGCTCTGACAATGTCGGCCGGGAAAACTTTGACCGTGTCAAGGCTTGGGTCAAGGCTGTCATCAGCGGCTTCTCCATCGGCGTCAACACAACCCAGGTGGGTTTGCTGCAGTACAGCTCTCAACCGCGTGTGGAGCTGTCCGTTGGAGCTGTCAGCAACATGTCGGATCTTCTCCAGGCCGTCGACGGCGTGACGTACATGGCTGGTGGGAACAATATCGGCCAGGCGCTGCAAATAGTCAGTACTAGCGCCCTCCTACTTGGCAATGGCACGCGCTCGAACGCCCGGAAGGTTGTTATGCTGGTCTCCGGTGGAAGCTCGAGTGATGATGTCATAACGCCTGCCCAACAGCTGCAGCAGACAGGTGCTGTCGTTTATGCTGCAGGTGTCGTCAAGTATGACGTCACCGAGCTCGAAAACATAGCCAGCTCGGCACGAACGGCGGCAACTGTCGGCAGCTTCGCCGCCTTGGACGATCTCAGGACATCGCTGCTGTCGTCCGTCTGCACAGGTAAACACGGCATGCCGGCGTATTTCTTCAATTGGCAACAGTGGCTGTCATATATTGCTGATCATTGCAGGAATGTGCTATGTTGTCAGAATGTAACGTTATGTGATAGCTATGTGTAGCACAAATGGCCTGGTCAAGGTTTTATTTTTATTAACATGGAGTTATGCGAATTCCATAACATTTTCGCCTGACAAAAGTTACATATATACATCCTATCATGCTTGCAGTACCCGCTCCTCTGGTGGCCTACGTGTCCGTAGATGTACAATTCACCGAAGACCTCCGAAATCCGAGTTCAGCGGCATATTCCATCCTAGTGACACAGATCAGAACACAGGTTAGTAAGGGCGCGGTCACATACGTCGTATGATCGTCATACGATCGTGGACTAAGGGCATTCGCGAGAGTCGTATGCATCGAATACAATTTAGCTGTTTTTCATCGATAAGTTAGTCCCTGTCATCGGTCGGTTCTGTCAAAAAGGCAAGAACAAGGATTGTATTTACGAGGTCCTGGTAAGGCTTTATTACTCACTCCACCCAAAATAATATTTGTCTGTTCATTGTTCCGTAGCTTTTGCTCCTGTTTAGAGACATCGTGGGACTTCAGGGCATTGCTGTCACCAATTTTCACCCACAGTGAGATGGTCATTTATTCTTAACCACACTCTAATTTGATTAGATGTAATTGAACTTGCACTCTGGAATCCTCACCTCTTTGTTGTCATATTGACAAGAAATACAGAGATGGAAGATGTAGAAACATAGACATAGATATATTTTTTTCTCTTGGGAAGAATCTAACTCGTTTTTCCTGAGATGAATACATGCGAATTTCTATCTGCCTCTCAAGTGCCGGAAACACCACACGGGTGTATCTGAGTCTGATTGTCGCCCCTTACATCTCTGTGGCCGTGGAACATCGCTTCGAAACTGCAGTAAACACTGGAAGAATTGGCAGCTTGGTCGTCATTCCGGGCTCACTCTACATATTTAGGGAAGGTGAGAAACATCAAACAAAACACCAAATGTTTGTTTGAGTGGATGCGCTGTATCTCTTTATCCGGACAGAATAGGTTGACAGCACTTGGAAGGGGGGAGTTTGATAATATGACAGGAGGCCAAAGGGAGCAACCGGAAGCCAAGGATTGTATTATTCCTGGAAGACTGAAATTTCCGATTTCTTGTTTTGTATTATTCCTTCTAAAAAGTTACCATTTCCTCCAACTGTTCTCAACTTTAAATACTATTTATGAACCACTCATTACTTGTAGGAACAACAGCTGCACCTCCAATAGAGCCCCTACAATGTCGGAATGACGTTGACCTGGTGTTTTTATTGGATTCGTCAAACGCTGTCGGTCAGAGCGGGTTGACTTGGATAAAAAAGTTCATGACTTCAGTCATGGAGTCACTGATAATCGGACCGGACCACTTTCAGATAGGGGTATTCCAGTTCAGCGAAAATGCTCGTCAGGTGATAGCCCTAGGAGCGTACAAGAATAGGTAAGAGACAAATTTCGTACTAAAACAGATATGTGAAATTGATCAATTCTGAAATAACTTAGGTATCTCAGTCAGTTTCGAAAGAGATAGTTTGTCTTAATGCGTTCTCTCATCTTTGTTTTTCAGCACGGATATCATACAGCTGGTTAACGAGACGACATTAATCGGCGGACAGGCCAATCTAGAACTGAGTCTGATCTACGTTCTTAGAAACGGATTCAGGTTTAGCTCTAGACAAGGAAAAGTAAAGGTACGTATTTGGTGCTGATGCTTTGGATGTTGATCACCAGAAAGAAGACAACGATACCAATCGATAGGTATATTGAACGGCGTTTTAACATGCAAACCGTTTTCTAACCTTTGGTCGTTGATATAGGGATTTTTCTCCCTGTTGGTCAATACGTGTTTTCCTTTCCTTTCCACATTGTTCTCATGTTACTGCCTACAGGTTGTCGTTGTGTTGACCAGTGCCCAGCACAGCGTTGATTCTGCGGAACTTCTAGCTCAGCAGGCCAACCAATATGGTGTGGTGACCTTCGTGATCGGAGTGGGCGCAGCGCCTCTGCAGAGGCAACTGGAAAGAATCACGGGCTCCAGTAGCGCAGTGACCGTTGTTAATGGTTTTTCCAACCTACCTGAGATGGATAGGGCTATCGTGAACAGCCTTTGCAATGGTATCTTGATGTTCTCCATGCTGTCATCTTTCTAAATACTTACCAGAAATCTGAAGGCTCAGAGTTTTTTTATTACTATATTACTATATTGTTTTAGGGGATATTAACAATGCAAGACAGATAAAATCAAGCCTATATCCTGTTTTTCAGTTGGTCAACTCCTATACGGCAAATTTGTCATCAGGACACCGTTTAATGAAGCACTGAGGAACACCAGTTCTCATTACTTCCAAACTCTAGCTGCACAGGTCCACGATGGGGTAAGTAAGAGAAATATAGAATTTTTCTATCAGGTTTCTAGAGACTATTTTGTTTAAAGTCAAGGGTAATTGAAACACAAGCATAGTAGGTACGAATAAATTGGTTACTCATTTTGTTGCTTCACAGATTGCTGGAATATTGAATCGTGACTGCGTTCAACGAATAGTCGTAACGGAGTTTCGCGGATCTGGGTAAGTTTTTTTATAAATCTGCATTGCATTGTGTAATGAGAACACTACTGCAATCATAATAGTGTCATAACTGGTTAGGCAGATCTCTGATATCGTTATTTATGTCACGTCTTTGAATTGCAGAAATGATCTTTACACCGAAGTGTCATTCCAAATCCTTGGGGAGAACACAACACTCTGTCTAGAGACCTTGGTAGGAAATTTCACATTCACAGTGTCTACAGGACGAATCGGGGCATTAGTGGTCGACACAAGTTCAGGGACACTTGGTTCTGAAGGTAATGACATTTCTAAATGTATTCTTCGTGACGTTCTGCAAGGATCTTGTTGTCAAGATAGATTGGTTGATAAAGCAATGAAACTGCATCTCCCATGGTTTCAAACATGTCTTACTTCCAGGTAAGGAACTATCATCTTGGGTGACTGAGATGTGGGTTTTTATGTAGATTAGGTTGACGTGGGTTGGGAAAGATTGGCAGCCAGAATGTCAGAAAACGGGGGTGAGCCTACAGATCTCAGAATCTGGTCTGGAACCAGCACAAATTATTGTTCGGCTCCGGGACTTCCCGTAAAATTAAAATCTCTGATTTCTTTCCATAGAGGAAGTCACAGCGTATGCGTCAATTACCATCACCAGTCAGTGCTTCACAGCTGCCCTCCTGGATCCCACTTCACCCGAACATCAGGGGCTCAGAATTCAGCTGGAAGTAGCGGTAAGCAGAAGCTTTAGAACAGTAGCGAAAGGTACATTTAGAAATCGTGAGAACTATTTCCGGCGCTATGTTACATGCTTCTACATGATATCGATGGTTCGGTCCTGCCTAAAAAGCATGTATTACCTGTCAACCGTCAGACCGAAGGAAGACAGAACCTTAACTGCTCTAACAATTCTTTTCTTGTTTCAACACAATGAAAATACTTATTATAATGCCTTTCAGGCAAGCACCATCTTTTCGAATGTATCGGGAATCCAGTCTGTCCAGATTCAAGAAATATCAAATGGGTACGTGAACCAATGTCTTCAATCTCGAGCTCCGCGATCGACATACGTTTATGTTACAATTGTAATTAGAATCTCAATGTTATTTACTATATAGCACTAACGCTGCGGGTTAAGATATAGCTGCGGTCGTACGCTACGTCTCCCATTGTGTCATGCCTAAAGTATTTGACTTTGTGTTCTATTTTGATTATAAGGCTTAGCGCATGCTCGATCGACGTCCGACTTCGCCTGCTGCTAAGAACCGGTCAGTTTGAAAGATCACAGCAGATCTTTCTTCGAGCTGTTCAAGAACAAAGATTTGGAGCATTCACCTTGGATTCAAGTACAGTCTTCTTTGGCATCACAGGTATGAATTTCATGAATTACTTATTCAAAATATCAGAAATCAGTGGGGCTTTTTGTTTTGTAATATAAGACAATATGCGTGCATCTCCTACTTTACTTTGCACTAAGTCCTTCTGACGAGGAAGAGATGTATGTTCATGTCACCGAAGCAATGGCCACCGAAGCTCAAGATAATTCCTTAGAAGGAAATTTGCATGTTTTTATCTAAGTTTTCTGCTGACGTTCATTTTATCCTTATAGCTTAACAAGAATTCAGAGATTTTATACCTCCATGAAATATGAGTTTTTGTAAATGTTTTTTTGTTTATTTGTTTATTTGAATTTACCACAAGATATACAAGTGGAAGGGAGGACAAAACAGGTGCATTGACACCTTTACAAGTTGTCCTCCCAAACACAACATACAGAATATAAAAGCAGATTACATTATTAAATGCAAACCAAAAATTTCTATTTGTCGTACTTAGCATAATCTAGTCTAATTTATGGTTTTCTAAATTCAAATGACAATATTTCACGTAAAATTCCTCTCCTTTGTCATACTTTATTTCAACATGTCCTCATTAATTATGCCAATGACCTTTACATTAACACAATGACCTCTACATCAACATAATACATGTATAGCGGTGTTAACCTTCAAGTAGCTTACACATGTCACAAGGTATAAAATTCCCACCAATAAGCAGTCACAGAATTTTCACATTAATTATGCAAATTAGGTCATCATTTCATAATTGGTATCTGTTGATGTTCCGCCTGCCACAGATTAAATAGATTACATTTATAAAAGAACTATTATATAAAACACTGTAATTATAGAATTTACTCTTTAATTATGCAAATTAAGTCCCAATTTGCATTTAATTATGTACAACTCTCTCTCAGCTACCTACACACCAAAAATGATAAAAATACGTTGTTCCTATCTGGACTTATTGGCTTTTAAAGATTTTGCCAGAAAGTCCCCTGCAGTTCCAGAACAAGCTGCTAGGGAGACCAAACCCACACCTCTTATTCCTGACATGAAAAGCTATCTGTCACCAAAAAGTCAGGACCATAGCATGTTCAGGACAAAAGATACAAAAACCGGAAGTTCTGCTGCAGTACCAAGGTCATTCACCAGGTGGCACATATTTGACCTTGACCTTTGTCTTCCTAAGACTTACCAGCATACCAAATATCATCACAACCCCTAAAGGCGTTATGAAGTTATGCTGACTACAAACGTGCGGAAACACAAACACACACACACACACACACACACAGACACACAGACAGGCCAAAAACAATACCTCTATTTTTACCTCCATGAAAAATGGAGGTATTGTTTTTGGCGCGTCTGTCTGTGTGTCTCTCTGTGTGTTTGTGTGTGTGTGTGTGTCTGTCTGTGTGTTTGTTTCCGCATATTTGTAGTCAGCATAACTTCATAACGCCTTTATGGATTGTGATGATATTTGGTATGCTAGTAAGTCTTAGGAAGACGAAGGTCAAGGTCAAATATGGGCCTCCTGGTGGATGACCTTGGTACTGCAGCAGAACTTCCGTTTTTTGTATCTTTTGTCCTGAACATGCTATGGTCTTGAATTTTTGGTGACAGATACCTTTTCCTGTCAGGAATAATGATGTGAGTTTGGTCCCCCTAGCAGCTTGTTCTTGAACTGCAGGGGACCTTCGAATTCGGGCGAAATCTTTGAAAGTCCAGGTAGGAACAACGTATTTTCATCATTTTTGGTAGGTAGGTAGCTGAGAGAGAGATGTACATAATTAAATGCAAATTATGCAAATGAGGACTTTATTTGATGACAAATGAGGACATTCTATAATTACAGTGTTTTACATTATAGTACTTTCATACATGTAATGTATGTAACCTATGGCAGATGGAACATCAACAGATACTAATTATGCAAATGATGACCTAATTTGCATAATTAATGCGAAAATTCTATGATTTCTTAATGGTGAATGATGGGAATGTCATACTTGGGACATCTGTAAGTTAATCAAAAGTTAACATTACGATACATATATTATGTTAAAGCAGAGGTCATTTGCGTAATTAAAGAAGAAATGTACATTTAGATATCAAGCCCATATTTCATGGAGGTATGAGATCTCGGAACTCTTGTTCATGGAGGTAAAAAAGATCATGCGGTAGCTTTTCGTGGAACGTACGTGTTGCCATACATTATCCAATGAGATGATTTTCCTTTATACAGAACCAGTATGCAGAGCCCCTCTAGACATAATCTTTGTCTTGGACGGGTCTGACAACGTGGGTCCAACCAATTTTGAACGCGTCAAGGCGTGGGTCAAAGCGGTCGTCGGCGACTTCGCGGTAGGCAGCAACAACACTCAGGTAGGACTGCTACAGTACGGTACCCGTCCGCGGTTGGAATTTTCTCTGGATGTCTTTACTAGCCAGCAGGAAGTTCGTGATGGTATTGACGGTGTGGCGTACCTAGGAGGAGAAACAAACACAGGGGAGGCGCTGCGAACACTCATATCGGCCGGGTTTGCGGACAATAATGGAGTTCGAACAACAGCAGCCAAAGTGGCCATTGTGGTCACAGCAGGGAGGTCAAGCGATGACGTTGCTCAGGCCGCACGAGATGTCCAAAGGAGTGGTGTACTAGTTTACGCCATCGGTGTTGGAGGGTACGACTTGAGCGAATTACAAGAGATTGCTAGCTCAAGTCGCAGTGTGGCAACTATGGACAACTTCCTAGGGTTGAACGACCTGAGGACATCATTGTTAGCGTCTTCATGCACAGGTGCTTTATCCTCAATTTCGTTCTTTTCACTTATGTTGAGGCACAGCATTTTAAAAGAAATGTGATGGTGTATGCACACTTTGAAGTAAATAGTTTCACTTGTAAATAGGATCTGGTCATTTAAAGGTTAAAAAATATTGTGTTTGTACAAGATGCTGCAAGGTGATAAGTATGTTAACATGTGTCATAAAGTAATTGTGCTAGCATGAAAGTTAATCTGAGTTCAAAAGGGTAAATTACATTGTTTTATGGAACAATAAGACCGTTTTTCAGCGTAGACAGTTTTCCAGCCAAAGAAATTAGACTCACCAGAATTTTGACTGACTCAAAAAGTCTTATTCAGCTATCTACCCAAATCGCTCAGAACACGTGACTTAATGCAGGCGTAACGTCAGAAATTATCAACTTGTTGGGGCGTGGACATCGATTTCTGATTTTGAGCTAGCTGGAGAACAGTTTAATATTTTCCATCCTGTTTGTAATTGTTATATGCAGAATTCATCTAATCACCCACTTTCCACTATTTTCAGTCCCCGAAACATTGGTGATCTATTTCACAATAAATGTGAAATTCAGCCAGCAATTGCGAAATCCAAGATCTTCTGCCTTTGTGACGTTAGTCGCACAAATAAACACAGAGGTAAGGAATGTTCTGTAAAGTATACCAGTCTATAAACAAAGTTTGAATCCTCTAGTTGCAGGGTATTTTGCCGGATTACGTGCAAGCAGCAGTGCCTTTTGCCCTGCTGAATAGCACACATTATACTAAGCATGCGCGCAATTTTTATCTGTCACATTGAAATTGAATATATTCAGTCACTTAAACTATAGGCCTCATTGGTGTTTAAGAATATGACCGATGAGTTTGTCTTTTGGTCTTCTTTTCTATGCCTTAGAATGGAAAATGAAACCATTTTAGCCACAAAAACACCACACTGTTACCATTCAAATTCTCGTATCATCCTTCTAAAGGTATGTCCCTACTATTTTTTCAGCTCCGCCTGCTGTTCAGAGATATTGCTGGATTTCATGGCGCTGTGGTTTCCGGCTTCCGTGCCGGGTAAGCTGCTCACAAGCTTAATACATTTTGACGCAGATGAAATGATGTTAACATGTATATTATGTTATCCAATATAACCGACATGACTAATATTAGTATTAGAAACGTTAACAGGTGATAAATGACATGCAACAAACTGACGATTGATTTTTTTACCTTAAAGAGCCAACAGTAAGGTGCAAGTGTATGTCAAAGTGTCCGTGGCCTCCTACATCAGTGTGACACTTCAGCTGCGACTGACGGCTACTGTGAACACGGGCAATATTGGTAGCTTATCCGTTATTTCCGGATCAACGGGAGTCCTGCTGGAGGGTAAGTCAAACGTTCCTACCTCTTATAGAATGAGGACTACGTCGCATACGTCGTACGGTTGTCGTACGATCGATTGCAAACCGAGGTTATTCTGTGACAGAAGAGCGTGTGTACTATAAAACTCAACTGTCTTGTTATACAAATGATGCATAAATGCGTGTCAGCAGCTATTTCTGTCACATCCTGCCTGAAAATGATGATATAACATCAAAATCGTACGACGGCGGACGGCGAAAGTGACGTCTATACGATCGTTTATGAGACAATGATTGGTTTGGGGCTTGTCTACAAATTGTTCATACATATCCTGATTGCAGACATACCGGTAACAGTAGCCAGTCTGGTAGTCCAGGAACTTTGCAGTGGAGACCTTTTCGATCCACAGTCTTCCGCATATACGGCCTTTGTCTTCCGCGTACTGTCAGTGGTAAGGGATTGAAATGATTTTTTTCTTGCTGATTTTGATTATCATATCACCATCATGTTATGTTGTTATTGATAATACCGAAACTACGTTTAGTACATATGTGCCGAAATTTTGCTACCCGACCGCTTATTATACAAAGGTTGCAGATTCTACATCGTCTTCTTCATAATTGCACTATCAATGATTGGAATGTTTTCTTTTTTGTCAGATGCTGTCCGTTCTTGGGCATATCCCGGGGTTACTGTCCGTTCAAATAACCAACGTTGGTTGCTCGTAAGTACAGTTTACGTCTAAGGATGTTTGTCAATTCCAAAAAAACAAAACAATCTTTAAGTTGTACTTGAAAAAGAAGAATGCGACAGACTGTCGTTCGTAATATGGATATATTTCTTATATTTCAGGGGATTGTACATCAGAATCACGGCCAGTACAGTTCTAGTTTCATCAGCCTCAAACGCCTTTGTAGCCAACTTGTCGGCGGCTGTGGAATCAGGCAGAGTGGGTAACCTGACTGTTGACCCTTCTTCACTTCTCTTCGGTCAAGCAGGTAAGCGGCATACCTGTGATAAGCAGTGATGAAATATTCTAGACGTTAATCTATATTAGAAATGAGATAAACATATATTTTTTACGCCAAGTGGCTAGGCTAGTTACGTTGACACACGGGTCACGGGTTTGATCCCTGGCATAACTACAGCTGGCTAGACGTTGTGTCCTGGACATGAAAATATAATCACCACTAGACACTAGATTGTGTTAGGACTAACTAAATTAAAGGCTGCTGCATTTGGAAGTAGTAAACCTATGTACTAAAAATGTTCTTAGATGTTTAAATGTTAATAATGTCTCTTCCTTACAGCACTACTCTGTGGTAGTTCACTGGATATCATTTTTCTTGTCGACGGTTCCGGAAGCGTGGGACCGACCAACTTTGAGAAAGTCAAACTGTTCATCAACAAGGCCGTGTTAGGATTTGCTATTGGTCCCACTGCAACACAAGTTGGGGTTATACAATACAGCACCAGAATCAGGCAAGAATTCTCCATGAATTCTTTCCAAACAGTGAGGGGTTTATTGGGAGCAATCGACGCCATAGAATACATGCAAGGCGGCACACAAACGGGAAAGGCTATCCGTTACGCCAGCAAGTATGGCTTCTCATTTTTTGATGGGGCTCGTCAAGGAGTTCCTAAGGTGCTGGTTGTTGTGACGGATGGAATTTCGGCAGACGAAGTAGCTGATCCAGCTTTGGAAGCCCAGCAAGAGGGCATTGTTGTGTACGCCATTGGTATTTCCAACTACGATGTCAATCAGCTGCAACAAATTTCCAGTACGAACGAGACCTCAGCTATCGTGGCCAACTTCAACCTTTTGGATAGCGTGAGAAACACATTGTTGACAAGCGTGTGCGACGGTAAGATTTCGTGTTCAAGTTTGTAAATTTTGTTCAAATATAGAATGTTGTTCAAGTTTGACGAGGCTTGGTCGAAATGGATGTTTAACTGTGTATTCTTTGTCTATTTCTACTTCCTCATTACATCAGTTCCCACGCCTGTGTTTATAAGCCTGACACTGACCATCCAGTTCTCTCCAACGCTGAGGAACCAGTCCTCTATTGAGTTCGGCAGTATTTCTACAGTCCTCTCAACTGAGGTGAGCCCGGGTTCTTACTAGCTTGAGTAATGTTGTGGTCTAAAGACGTTTAATCTTCATTGTGCACATGTTGCCAATAAGACTTCACTCGATTACCCACCTCACCGCATGTTTTTCTTTTTCAGATATATCGGATATTTTCCATTATTCCGGGATTTCAAAGTTTGACCATTGTGGGACTGCAGCCGACGTAAGTACTTAGGCGCTGTCTTTTAGTTACGAGAATCGTGGTTGAAATTTAGTTTCTTTATCCTGAGTTTGTATTAAGGATACATATTCATAAATCGCCTAGAGATCGTCAATGAATGTATGTATATGCATTCTAAAACTTGCCGTTAATCCAATGACAAACATACGTTTTCTGTATCACATCTGTAGATTCATCAGTCAAGTCAAGGTGACCATGACCTTATTTGTGGCGCAGTTCTCAACAACAAGCATGAAAGAAGCATTCATCAGTGCTGTGCAAACTGGCAGTTTGGGGTCGATATCAGTGAATGCGTCTTCTGCAGTCGTCATTGAAGAAGGTATGGACTAAAATGAGTAGTGTGCCATCACGAAATGCTAAGTCTTTTGTGCAGCCGCGTTCCCAGTTTATATTTTGTTAATACACATATAATTAGTAAGACGAAGACAAAGTGACTCTGCTCAATTATACAACTTCAGTGCAGCATTACTTGCAATTAACCTAGGTAATAAAAAATATAGATGATAATCTGAACTGGAAAGTATCATCTGCCATATAGAGACGTAAATAGTATGGTGATTTACGGCATCCCATCGCTCGTTTACACCACAGAAACCACACAAGTGTTAGTTAGCTTCGTCAACACGGAACAATGCGACGCTAATCTTCTGAACCCAGACTCAACAACGTACAAGGCATTCATCATTCGAGTCGAGAATTCGGTAAGCGTTTTTTGTGTGTGTACATTTAAAAGGGTTCAAACATTCTTGTCGACTAAAAGTTATCAAAGAAAATCAAATAAAATGGAGTAAGGATTACCTTAGATATCAGGATTTTTTTAATCTGTGAATGCATCATCAGGATGTTTGCTGTATTCTCATTGCCTTTCTGTCTGTACTGAATGTGTTAAACTCGTGTTATGTCATCACTAATACATTCCAATTTACAACTATTCAGGTGCTTCCAATTGTTGGAGATATCCCGGGGTTGTTGTCTGTGAAAGTGACCAGCGTTAGCTGTTTGTAAGTGACTTCTGCTCCTCCATAAAACATTTTAGAATAAGTTGTAGGCGTTGATTCGTTAATTTTCTTTCATGATAAAATCTATCTGCATTTTATTTCTCTGCCATCGTGAAATTACTAAAAACTGATCAGTGCTTTTCAGTACTCCTTGCGTTATGTGAGAATCAATCTGAATTTAAATGTTCTTTTCTAGTGGTCTGTACATCAGAGTGACTATTAGTATAGGAGTCGTGTCCGCGTCCTCTAGTACACTCGTGATGACAATCTCTACAGCTGTATTATCAGGAAATGTGGGAGGCTTGACTGTTGATCCAAATTCATTCACTTCGGGTGATGAAGGTACGTAGATGGTGATCAACATTGTCTGCAGTGCAAAAAACGAATAAAGCAGATAGATATTCATAATTCTTGAATATTGAAGAAACCTTCATTGTACATAGTACATGTATATACTCACTGGGTTAAATACAGTTCACAGCAAAAAAATAGTCTACAGGTACATACATATAAATGCTTCTCACGTCTTTATAATCATGGTTGAAATGTAAAAGCAGATATGTGTTAATATCAAAGGTTTCTGTATACTCAATATATTGATTTTGTATTACGTCAGTGTATATATTACGGAAACAGATTGTATCGGTCACTAAACATCAACCCTCTTCATGTAGTATATCTAGATCTATTTTAGTATAATTGTTAAGTTTGTTAGTTTCTGATTTGACTTTAAAACTTTGCAGTGTATTTATTTGTCGAATCTTGTATGTAAAGATGACAAGCAAAGATGATAACAATGCCAATCTTTCTTTACACAGCTTTATTGTGTCAAGCTCCTCTGGACATTATTCTTTTGCTGGACGGGTCAGGAAGTGTAGGGGCCAACAACTTTGAAAAGGTCAAACAATTTACGAAAAAGATTGTCGAGACCTTTGCTATTGGCCCCTCATCAACACAGGTAGGAGTTATCCAATACAGCACGCGAGTAAGACAAGAATTCTCTATGAACAGCTTCCAAACGAAAGAAAGTTTGTCCAGTGCAATCGACGATATTACATACATGCGAGGCGGTACCCTGACGGGAAGAGCCATCAGGTACGTGAGGAGGTATGGCTTTGCAAGATCAGATGGAGCTCGTCCCGGAGTAGCGAAAGTGCTCATTGTCGTCACAGATGGCCTTTCGTATGACGCAGTGGCAACACCTGCCTACAAAGCAAGACAGAACGGAATCCTTGTCTACGCTATTGGCGTGTCGGGTTACGACCTGCCGCAGTTGGAGCAAATCGCCAGCAACAACAGGACATTGGCTGTGGTGGACAACTTCAACCTACTGGATAGTCTGAGGAACACGCTTTTGACAGGCGTTTGTGATGGTAAATACCCTCAATAACATTTTCAATTCAATGCTTGAGAAGTTTTGATTTGTTTTGAAGAATTGGTGTTGACTATTTCCTATCTGATGTTATCTACAGTTGTGCCACCAGTATTTGTGAGTGTGACATTGAATATCCAGTTCTCCATACAACTGAGAACCCCCGGATCGAGTGAATTCTCCAGTATCACCAATGATCTCAGGACAGAGGTACGAATAGGGGTTGTTGCCCATTGGAATAAAAGCACGGACGATGAACGTATTTTCACATGTAAATTGTAAAAGAAATGTTGACACTATAAATGACACTTTCAATTTCTTTGCAGGTATACCAACTGTTTATATCGATAGTGGGATTTCAAGGTATATCCATCGTCGGTTACCAAGCAGCGTAAGTAGATCTTAACTTCTAGAATTTCTACAACTACCTATCATCGTATATTTAACCGCTAGGTTTAATGGTATGGATTTTATTTGCAGAACATTCCACAGCCCGAAGGTTGAATTACATGTCACGTACATTGTAAAACAACTTGTGACAAATGAACTAAAGGTTAAAGGTTAAAATAACAGTTTCGTTAAAATAACAAATTAAAATTAACACGACGGCATGTAGTAGGATTGCAATACAGTAGAGTATAACGTTACAACACATTAAATCATTCTTAATAATAACCCTTTCATACCATTCTTAAGATTTAGTTTACCTTTTCAGTTTCTTACTTAAGTTTAGAAATACATTTCGCTGTAGGAAATTCTGGATAAGTTCTGGAAAAGTAAGTTCTGGAAAAATAAAACTGTATTGGTATTCTCACTACTTATGTTTCAGAGGTTGAGACTCCCAAAGGATGAGTAATAATTCCTTTTTACTGGTTCGTGATAGATCATAGGAAACATGAACAGTATGATAGGTTTCATAAAGCTTTATGACTATGAGAAATCAAATGTATGGGTATCATTTTAGCCCTAGCAATCAAGTCAAAGCAACAGTAGCTGTCTTTGTTTCCGAGTTTGCTGCCGCCGCCATGAAGCAAACCTTTATCACCGCCGTAAGTACAGGCAACCTGGGATCTACATCAGTGAATGCAAGCTCCGCCATCGTCATCGAAGAAGGTAACGATTAAAAAAAATTCAATTCACTGTATTTTTCTACCTCACGTTTCGCGGAATTTGGTACTGATTGATACCACTTAAGAGACAACGTTAGACGAAAACGCCATATTAATTACAACAGAAATACAGGTGTCATATAATAGTCATTAAGATATCTCTCCTCTATGATACGGATGCCAATCACATTTTTCACTGCGTGTTGTTTCCACTAGAAACAAATTCAGCCGTAGTAAGTCTGGTTGTCCAGAACAATTGCAGTGCAGATCTGCTTGACTCTGAATCAACAGTGTACATAAGTCTGGTCGCCCAAGTCGAATTTGCGGTGAGAATTTACAAACCACTCGGTAAAAAAGGATAGGCGTACAACAAGTATTGTTCTTGTGATTAAGATTCTTTGTCCGTGACTATTATCTGTGCATGACTTGTAATAAGCAAATTGTTGTTCTGATCCTAGTTTTCAAAAAGTCCTAGTACAAGGAAATATAAAAACCCTGCATACTAGTAATTGTATTCTGCATGAATCGATAAGTTTGTCTTGTTTATTTTGTTTCGCGGTGAAGCGTCAGAAACATTTTGGAAATCAACAAAGACATCAATTCCTACTTTCTTTTGTTACTTGGAGGTTTATTTCCATCTTGTCGATCTTCAGGTGCTGTCTATTCTTGGAAATATCCCAGGAGTTTTGTCCGTCGAAGTGACCAGTGCTAGTTGCTCGTAAGTAAAATCATCTGCAGACCAAAAACATTATCTTGATTTTAATTTTAATTTTAAATGAGGTCTAAATACGATACTTGCAATTAATATACTACTATAATATTTTCTTGATTAATGTACTTGCCTTGGTCATGTTCTTTTTTCTCCAGTGGGCTTTACATTCAAGTAACTATCACTGTAGTGGTCGTATCCACGTCCTCCAGTACACTTGTGACGACAATCTCTACAGCTGTATCTTCGGGAGATGTTGCAGGCTTGAGTGTCGATCCAACTTCATTCGTGTCTGGCGAAGAAGGTTAGTAGATAATGATCAGACATATTAGGGCAAAAAACGATAAAGAGCTTTTTTAAATAAACGCCTCCCTTTTTACCTTCGCCAGGAAGGTTATGCTTTCAGTAGCGTTTGTTTAGTGTGTTTGTGTGTGTGTGGTTAAGCAAGATAACTCAAGAAGCTTTGGATGGATTGTCATGAAAGTTAGTAGGTGAGTAGGTCTTGATAAGACCTAAAATGATTAGGTTTTGGGCCTCTTAGCGGCTCGTTATAATACTGCAGCTGAATTTCCGGTTTTTAAAACTTGCGCTATGGACATGATAGAGTCACTAATTTTGGGTGGTAGATAGCTCTTTGGCTAGGGAATAAGCAACATGAGTTTGGCCCACATGTGTCTTGCTAATAGGAACTGCAGGAGCGTTTGTTAAAATTTCTTCGAAGGAGGATAACTCAAGAACCGGTTGATGGATTGTCGTGATCTTTGGTATGTAGGTAGCTGTAGTAATGTTCCATATAATTAGATGGTAATTATGCAAATAAGGAGCTAATTTAAATGACTAATAAACGAAATTCTACAAATCTGTTTAGTTCGATAACAGGACGGTAAAAGACTTGTGACATATGTAATTGAGAACGAGAGGAGCACCCGAAGATATAGATTAGGTAAATGAAGACTTGATTTAAATGATTAATGGGAAATTATGCAGTATTATCATATAGCCAGGTGACGTTGACCAATCAGAAGGCTCCATTCCACATTCCTTATGACGCCATAATGTCACAAATAGAGTCAAAACTGGGTATTTATTCATCCCAATCCATACATTAAACAACCCAATTAATCACCCGCATATGACCTCAGGTGACCCAATAGAATACGGCTCTAGTTCTAAAAAATCCAAAAATAACTTAAGCTGTGTTCCATTGACCTCGGGTGACTCCCATAAGAACACCTGTTCCCTGCCTGTGACCCAGTTAACGTGAACTCTACCCAGTGACCTCAGGTGACTCCTATGATGGAACTATGTTTTATATTCTATTCAGCATGTGTATTGTGTCACTTACTGCATCACTTTGGATAGGCTATCGTGTAAGCTATATGATAATAGCGTTAATGGCCTGCCCTTTCTCGGTGAATATGGTGTGATAAAGCCTTGTCAGTTGCTATAACCACCTCATAAAGCCACCGCGTTCGCTGCGCTCACTTGGTGGCTTTATTCGGTGGTTATAGCAACTGACAAGGTTTTATCACACCATATTCACCTCGGGGCGGGTCATTAACCCTTAATTAACTGCTAGGCTTTTCATCCTTGCAGCATTTGGAAGTTTACTGAAGGTAACTAAATAAACATAAATAAACATAATTAAATCATGACCTCATTTGCATGATTTATGAGGATGTGCTGGAATATAATAATATAATAATAGCATTTTTTGCTAAGATAAGGCTGCCATTGGGTGGAGAATATGATCATTATATATAAACCATGCAAATGAGGCACGTATTTACGAAATCAATGAATAAAAATATATAGTTCGTCCACAGGAAGGGTTGACATCATTTGGCGAAGGTATGAGATCGTGGAGGTCTTGTTGATTATAGGCTTGGCTTTAAAAAGATTAGCGGTATGACTGCGAAGTATTAACATTTTTAAGTAAAAAATGATAAAGGCTTATTACTTGTCTGTTTTGTTTCGGTACTATGTAGAAAAGGCCATTCTAGAAACCTCATTTTTCAAAGTAGAACTCTTTCTATTTACAGCATTGTACTGCCGAACTCCTTTAGACATCATTCTCCTGCTAGATGGTTCAGGAAGTGTAGGGGCCAACAACTTTGAAAAGGTCAAACAATTTTCGAAAAAGATTGTCGAGACCTTTGTCATCGGCCCCTCATCAACACAGGTAGGAGTTATCCAATACAGCACGCGAGTAAGACAAGAATTCTCTATGAACAGCTTCCAAACGAAAGAAAGTTTGTCCAGTGCAATCGACGATATTACATACATGCGAGGCGGTACCCTGACGGGAAGAGCCATCAGGTACGTGAGGAGGTATGGCTTTGCAAGATCAGATGGAGCTCGTCCCGGAGTAGCGAAAGTGCTCATTGTCGTCACAGATGGCCTTTCGTATGACGCAGTGGCAACACCTGCCTACAAAGCAAGACAGAACGGAATCCTTGTCTACGCTATTGGCGTGTCGGGTTACGACCTGCCACAGTTGGAGCAAATCGCCAGCAACAACAGGACATTGGCTGTGGTGGACAACTTCAACCTACTGGATAGTCTGAGGAACACGCTTTTGACAGGGATTTGCGATGGTAAATGCCCTCAATAACATTCTCCAATTCACTGATTGAGCTGTTAATGTTTGTTTTGAAGAATTGTTGTGTGCACTGGTGTTGACTTATTCTCTTTGGCTGTTACCTTTAGCTGTGCCGCCCTTGTTTGTGTGTGTGACTTTGGACATCCAGTTTTCCACACAACTGAGAAACCCCGAATCAGCCGATTTCTCCAATATTACCAGTGTTCTCCAGACAGAGGTATGAAACAAATTTTTGCCCATTGAAATAAAATCTAGGGACATGGGTTAAACTGTTTGTAGGTTTAATGCATAAAGCAACATTGATGACATTTTGAATCTTTTTGTGCAGCTTTCCCAACTGTTTGAGTCTATCGCGGGATTCCAAAGTACATCAATTGTCAGTTACCAACCGGCGTGAGTACACTTCTAATAAGTCTAATGATATTTGATGATGTACATTTGTAATCGTAATAGTATTCTTGTTAATTAGCAATTCTCGTAATAGAATTTGAAGAACACATGGAAAAGCAAATCTGCATGTCTTGATACCATTTCAGCCCTGGAAATAAAGTCAAAGCATCGATTGCTGTCTATGTTGCCGTGTTTTCGGCTACCACCATGAAGCAAACCTTTACCACGGCTGTAAGCACTGGCAACCTGGGATCTATATCAGTGAATGCAAGCTCTGCCATCGTCATTGAACAGGGTAAAACGTTGTTTTTTTCTTAGTACTTTACTTTTTAGGCAGTCTATGTTTTTGATAAATAAGCGAATGTTTGTTGATCTGAAGATAATATTTCGACCATAGCTCTCGGCCAAGAAAAGACGAGAACCATGTTTATTGTTAGGCAAAAGCATAAAATGCTTGATTGTAGTATATGGCATGCATAGCAAGGACCGTAATCATTACCCAAACCGTACCTCCGGCTGTTGTTAATGTTACTGACGCTTAAGTCAAGCTATGTTCACCTTTTACCAGAAACCACTTCAACCGTCGTAAGTCTTGTTGTTGAGACCAATTGCAGTGCAGATCTGCTCAATCCTGAGTCAGCAACGTACATCTCCCTGGTCGCTCGAATTGAGTCTGCGGTAAGAGTACACAAAAAACTATTTTAATAAGATAAATACTAGGCTTAAACATGATAAAACCTCGGTAGATCTCCATGCAGAAGACCCTAAACAAGTTTCTGTAGATATGGACCTTAATGGACACTAATCTTTATTACAAGGAAACGGTAGACTAATGCCATTTTTCATTTCTTCACTTGACTGCGTCTTTTTATCTTACGTCGGAATTGACGTAACGTTCGCAAAGAGTAACATGCAGTTTTTCAGCGTTTTCTTTTGTCTTTCTTATCTTTAGGTATTGTCGATTCTTGAAAGTATTCCAGGTGTTGTGTCAATTGAAGTGACCAGCGTCAGATGCTCGTAAGTGCGACTTTATATATATATATATATATATATTAAATTTGACTACTAAAACTTCCATAACTTCTTTTTACATTGACAATAACCTTGAATATGTTGTTTGTTTTCCCCAGTGGACTTTACATCAGAGTCACCATCACTGTAGTGGTCGTGTCGTCGTCGTCCAGTACACTTGTGACAACAATTTCTACAGCTGTATCATCAGGAAATGTGGGAGGCTTGACTGTTGATCCAACTTCATTCTCGTCTGGTGATGATGGTGAGTAAATGGAGACTTTGGTTTGGGCATGGCTTTTGTCTGATCTGTCCTGTCAATTCTTAATTGGTTTTAATGT